TCAATTTTGTCTCATATCCAGAAAAATAATGAACCATTAATTTCTGGTTAACCATTTTTATGATAATAAAAAATAATTCAATTTCTGGAATCCAGTATTTACCACACAGGAAGACTAAAGTATTATTATTATTATGTAAAACTGACGTTAACGATATAATATTATGTGATTCCAGTGTTGGTACGTTGTTCATGATCATAAAAACTGAAAATTAATATAATAATATATTTAATTTTCGGTTATCTCTTTTGATTGAAATTTTTAAAATCTTCATTACGTTCTGTGTTTTAATGGACTTGATTTAAAAAATCCTGCTGTTTTAAATGTATTACGGATTAAATGAAGCTAGGCATTTAAGTAATTATTATCAGAAGGGGTTTCGTGGAGATCATAACAATTTCAACAGTTGAGATCATGAGTCAATTGAAACTAGACCACCATAGAAGACCTGGAAGACCTGAACGGCCGTTTCGTCCTATTGTGGGGCTCCTCATCAGTGCGCACCCACGACCACACCTCGCGAGATTCGAACCCAGGACCTATCAGTCTAGCGCGCGAGGCTATGCTCACTAGTGATTGGCTTCAAACGGTATTTCCTGGAGTTCTAGTGAGAATCATTGACCTGTGGAGTTCGACCGGATTTGTTGTAAGATAGTCACTCACTGATGGCAATGGTAGATGTGTCGCTCAATTTTGTGGATTAGTTGGAGTTAGACATTAATACCGTTGGATCCCGACCCAGTGGGCTAGTGGTTAAGTGCTCGCGCGTGAAACCAGTAGGTCCTGAGTTTGAATCCCGTGGGCGGGATCGTGGATGCGTACTGCTGAGTCCCACAATGGGACGAAACGGCTGTCCAGTGCTTCCAAATCTTCCATGATAGTCTGACTTTAATTGACTCATGATCTCAACTATTGAAATTTAAGTAATTGTGTCTCAGCTGAGTAATCGGAAGACGAAGTGTGATCTAAAGTATATGGGTTTGATCCCTGGTAAGTCAGAGGTTGTAAACTTCTGAAAAGTCCCATGCTATAACGAAATACTTACTTAATTCATCCTAGTCTCTACTGATGACTTAACTAAAGCCAGTCAGTTACACAAACTACAAAAAAACGATCTCTACAAACCACCTATACTAATATCTACTTGGTTGCATTTTGCGTTTATTCTCGTGTATTGTAAGCAGTCTACATGATATATGTCCGTAATAGTGTAAAATCATAAAATAATAGTTTGAATGCTATCAGTTCTCGTAATTCCGGTGTCTTAGTGGATAGAAAATAGAGCATATAATACATTGAAGGAACCGAGTATATCTTTCATAGTCTGTGGGTTAGAGTATACTAGTAGTTAATTTAATGCTTTAGAATATTTTCAAACTTGGTTTATCTAGAGAATAAAAAATCGTAGGCCTGACTGTCTGGGTATTCTGCTCCAAATGACAGTGGAATTATGTGAGAAATTGTTATGATTACTGGCTAACAATGTTGTCTCTGAACAAGTTGTCTGTGACTGCAGTAAGGTGTTTTCACAAAATACACTGTTGGATCTGAGGAAAGTAAAAATTAAGGTAATAACTTAGAGTAAAATATAAAGATCGATGTATTCAGCAGTGTTTCAAAGGATTCGGACTATAATTCATCTCAAGCTGTCTATCAAAAATATCTGTTATGCTTACAATATACGTAAAATCACTTATGTTAAATAAAAATAAACTTCAAATTCACTTTACCTGTGGTGTATGCTACTTATGTCGACAAACATGGGGAGTATATAACATCAGTCAGAAGTGAAATCCATGGCAGCAGAAAACTAAGAAGATCGATTTGAAAACAGAAAGGAAAATAGGAAGGAGTTGTGAATTGGGAGAATCATACAGAATATAAAGAACAGCTGATGAAATATTTGCAAATGAAGTATTTTATGTATAGCTCTTATATTTTACCAAAATAATCTGTAATTTTGTATTAAAATACAATTGGTTATCCCAACCTGTGTTCTCATTTACAACATACCAACAGTCTATTAACCTGCTGTCTTATAATTAAGGAATGTTACAAAATGTACATTTGTCAATTATGTGATAAAAAATAGTCGACCGATATTATTTTTGGTCAGTTAGTGAGAACTACCTAGGAAGGATGAAACTATACAAATGACTTATAGATTAGTATTATATTTGATAGACACCATTTGCAGAATCGATTGTTTGTAAGTAATATTTGCTAACTTATTATAGTTTATTGTGAAGTTAGAGCGGATGGATACTAAAAAAATGTAGTTAAATGTCTTGTGGAATTTCCTTTTTATTTCAAGAAATGTCTCCAGTATCACCTTTTAGAATTAGTACTATGACGAAAGTCAGGTACTTTCGTAGTCTTTTTATTTCAATCACACAGTCTATGTTTACTTAAAAGTTACGAAATTTGTTTTCATTAAAAGTGTTTTAAAAGGAACTACTGAATTTCTTCAATGCGTTTTAGACTACTCTGTTCATAAGCTTTTTAAGCAAAGATGAGTAGTGGCTAGCAGTGGAATCCAGGACGCGCGTTGCGTCCTATTTGGGGCTCGTCAGGACCCGGTAGCTAAGTGGATAACGCGATGGCGTTTGAAGCGAATGGTACTGGTTTCAAGTCCCGAGGTGAACATCAACTCTGTAACGCAGGTGCATCCAGCTGACGAGTCCCAAATAGGAAGAAACGCGCATCCTGGATTCCACTGTTAGCCACTATTCACCTTTGCTTAAAAAGCTTGTGACTTAAGGCTATATCAAGGCATCCGCACAGGATGCACATATGCCAACACGAGACTGATCAATCGCAGTGCTAAATAACAATGGGAAGATACAAGTAAAACAACACCAAAAGAATTTACTCTGTTCATAGGTAATTAAACAACAACTTAAAGTATCCATACACATTTCATAATTATCCAATCATTCAGAGAATGATGAATTGAAGAAAAATTAAATAAATTACATATTATTATGAATTCCTTTATTTATTGTCAATGAATGAGTTAAAAATACTAATGTATCTACTTGTCGATTAAGTAATAAGTATCACTATTTCAAATTGACAAGTTTGTATAACCGATATTCTTAAAAAAAAAACACACACACAACACAATTTCTATTCTTATATTCACTTAACAATAGTTACTAATTTGAAAATGAATCTCCTATGAAGATATTGTGTCTTGCATATTGAAACAATGATAAACTAATCAAGAGCTCATGTTTATGAAATTCCAATTCACTTTTTTTTTACAAGTATCTATGTAATATTAAATTAAGTTTTGTGCAACAACAACAAAAAAAAAATCTTTACAAAAATGTATCTGCTATGATGTAGGTAAACAAGAATTGACATTTGCACAAAATTGTTTCTTTATGTTATTTTATATAAAAGTTTGTGATTTTTGTTTTTTTTTAGAAAAAAAAATATAAATGATCAAGGATGTATTTACAAACATTTTCGTTACATCATTTAAACTAAACTGATTTTGTTTTATAAATGAGTCATTTTAGAATAATATTTATTATTTTATATGTGCAAAATTAAAGATCTCTTTGTTATATCTTAACGAAGATTAAAGTATGTGTAAACTCTTGAGACTTATTTATTATATCCCGATAAGAATAATGAATGAGAATTTTTGAGATCCATTTATGGACCAATACTGTGCGTATATTTTGATCGTATAATTGTTAAATAACTAAACTATAAATATTCATGTACCTTATATTATGGGCTTTATTTTGACCTATGAACTAATATTATACGTTTTACCATTCTTGAGTTATGCCCTGTCTATTAATCATTACCTCGCACATTCACAGCTACATTTGGCCAAATCTTGTACAAATGTTGTTTCCTATTTTATGGTACGATGTGGTCTGTCTGGTTTGTATATAAACCCAGTATGTTTGAAATAAATGATTCACATCACAGAGGTTGAGATTAGTGTTCTGGATTCAACTGGCTGTGTTAGACAGGGAAGCAGGACCAATAAATACTCTAGACTGCTTGTACTTGTTTTCTGCGTCACTGGTCCGATGGATAATTCGATGTTCTCCAATTGGCGGAATCATTGCGTTATACAATAAACAGGGCACACAGATTTCACAAGATATAACACTCTAAATGGACCAATATTGTCCTACATATTCTTATGTTATAACTATTCAGTAATTAGATCATGTATATCTATATTCCCCTATTATAAGCTTCATTTTGGTCTATAGATTATTATTGTACGATTTACGGTTCTTAAGTTTTGTTCAGTTTATTTATTACAGTCTCGCACGTGCACAGCCTCTTTGGACTTTATTGTGTATAAATGTTATTTCTTATTTTATGGTGCGTTGTTGTCTGTTTGACTGATATATAAACCAAGTATGTCTGAAATAAATGATTCGCACAGTGGAAGCTGTTATTGGTGTTCTGGACTCAACTGGACGGGTTAGACGAGTAAAAGAGAGAGAGCGTTTTATTTTATTTGAACACATAAATATTGGTACAAGAGAGCGCCAATATATATGCGCCACACACGAGTAAAGGACCGATAGGATGATAGGCTGAGCGTACAGGTTGGACGTCATTGGTTTAATACAATCCAATATCACTAATAAACTGAAAAGCGCCCTTATTCTTTTTATAATTGACAAACTTTACATTGTCAAGACGGGAAATAACTATTGTAGTACACACCACCATTTAAGAGAATTCTATTACAAATTAGTTATTATTTCATAAATTCAATAAAACAATTATTTAATCTATTCAAAGATGGACAGTGAAACCCGAGACGAGCGTTTCGTCCTATTTGGGACTCGTCAGCTGGATGTATCTAAATCTCAGAGTAGATGTTCACAATGAGGTTTGAAATTAAGGTTATATCGAGGCAATACACATAATATGCATATATACCAATAAAAGATTGATCAATTACAGTCCTAAATAACAATGGGAAGATTCAAACAAACAATACCAAGTGAAATGAACTATTCAATCTGTTATTCTGTATCATTATTTTGTATAAAAAAAACTGATCAAATAATTACATATTCGTACAAAACAAAATATGAACGAAATAGAAACAATGAATCAAAATCAAAATATAAAATAATAATAATAATAAATTAACAAGTTAAAACAATTAGTATCCACAATAGTAATTAAAATTAAGTCTTGTAAAAGGTAACTATTCATTTACAAAAAAAATAATCGATAATACACAAAACGGTAAACAGAAAAGTACACCCTAAAAAGAAAAGACAAAAAAATACATTTTCATTGTCAAAATCAGCAATATTAAACTGTTGATATGTTTTGTTTTGTTTTTCATGGATACAATAATGTTACTAATCAATTTAGTTTTCAGCAGTTTTATTCATAAGATTAATATACAGTAAATAGAATAGAAAACAAAAAGAAGAAATGCCAGATTTAAAAGTAATAAAGAAAAACCATACAATCAATGATTTAATCCAAATCTAACCAATATCTTGGTACCCAAGTTGGTTCACGTTCAAGTTTAATAGCTAAACGAATTAATTCTGTAACAGTTGAATCCAATGTTTCAGGAATAATTACTCTATCAAACCAATGACCAAAACGTAATTCCATTTTACGACTTGTTTCAATACATGCTTTCAATTCATCATTCTATGAATGAATCAAAATCAAAATGTAAAATAAAACATTGCTCATTGTAAAATAACAATAAAAATAATAAATAAATTGGAGTTTTCTAAACAATTAGTATCCAAATAACAATTACAGTATATAAACTGATTCTTAAACGATTGATCCCTTGTCATTGTTGATACTGACTAGTTGCCTTCATCAGTAGAACTTATTTCTTTTATTATTCCGAGAAAAAACACACATTGTACAGTGCCAAAATATAAAAAGGAAAAGAATATATTGAAATCATGAGTCAGTTGAAGCTAGACCACCATTGAAAACCCGGAAGCACTGGACGGCCGTTTCATCCTAGTATGGGACTCCTCAGCAGTGCGCATCCACGATCCCGCACCACGCGGGGCTCGAACCCAGGACCTACTGGCTTCGCGCGCGAGCACTTAACCACTAGACCACTGAGCCGGCATCCAACGGTGTTAATGTCTAACTTCAACCAATCCACGAAGTTGCGCCACTGTACACCATTGTCTTCAGTGAGTTCCTATCTCACAACAGACCTGGTTGAACTCCACTGGTAACGGCTTCTCACTAGAACTTCGGGAGTTTTTCCTGAAGTCAGTCACTAGTGAGCAGTTGATTATTATCAGAATGGGTTTTGTGGAGATTTTAGAAATTTCACAGATTGAAATCATGAGTCAGTTGAAGCTAGACCACCATTGAAATGAAACGGCCGTCCAGTGCTTCCAGGTTTTCAATGGTGGTCTAGCTTCAACTGACTCATGATTTCAATCTGTGAAATTTCTAAAATCTCCACAAAACCCATTCTGATAAAAGAATATATATATGAAACAATCAAAATGATTAATAATCTGATCTGGGGTTGTGTTGGGATATTCAGGAAAATATCCCAGAAATTATCCTATTTAGCCTGATGCTATTCTTGGACTTGGACATGGTATTATTTTCTTATTGGTCAGTACTTATTTCACGTGTCATTTTCCTACTGGCCAATATTGTACAATGTTATTTCTATTTTATGGTATGATGTGGTTTGTTTGATTGGTATATAAACAGAGTATGTTTGAAATATAATGATTCATATATCCGAGGCTGTGACTTTCGTTCTGGACTCAACTGCTGGGCTAGATAGGGAAGCGGGACCAATCAGAACCCTAGGTCGTTCTACGTGTCTGCGCGTCTTTGGTCCGATCGATAATTCGCTACCCTCAAATCAGCTACTGTCTCACTGATATAACAATTAGCGACGGGGTGAAAAAAAACACAATCCAAAGTCATTCTGTAATTGGACGAAATCCAGTCTAATTATTCAACCAATCAGCATCCAGATTGTCGTCACTGTCCTTCAACGACATTGGTCATTATTCACACAGTAATTTTCATCACAGGTGCTGATTCGAAAAAAATGACTCTCCCTTCCGATCGATTACAGCTGCTCTTTGAACGACATTTGGAGTTATTAGTCAAATTCCGCACGCAGCTGCTAAATCATTCACGCTATGAAGATGCGACGGAAGTGGACGGATTGATATCTGAGTTTCACAGTGAGCTGGAAAATGACAGCCTCCATGAATCCTCGATGAGCTGTACTTCAAACGAAACAGTCGTCCATGATGCGCCCGGTGGTCCAGTACTTTCTATTCCAGAAACATGCCCGGTAATGGAGTCAAACTCCATCATCCCCGAAACAGCATGTACAGACAGTAGCATATCCAGCTCACGAAAAGATCCTCTTGTTTTGCCAGAGAATGTATCACATGCATCAAACAATGGTCAGAAATCTAATACAATTTTGATAGATGCTGTTTATTTTGGTAACGTATTATCCACTAATGGAATTTCGAAGAGATCTGATGGGAATGTTTCACAAGAATCAAACTCTTATGACCTCATATCTACTGTCGCTGATCCTCAGCATCTAGTCAGCTCTAGTGGACTCTCTACTCAATGCGGGAAATATGCTTTAAATAGAGTCACACTAACTGTTACTTGGGTATACGAGGACCCAACATTATTCCGCGGGGGAGGATAGACGCGAAGAAATCCAAAATCCGGATCTCCAAAAAAGGGGAGGTGTTGGGATATTCAGGAAAATATCCCAGAAATTATCCTATTTAGCCTGATGCTATTCTTGGACTTGGACATGGTATTATTTTCTTATTGGTCAGTACTTATTTCACGTGTCATTTTCCTACTGGCCAATATTGTACAATGTTATTTCTATTTTATGGTATGATGTGGTTTGTTTGATTGGTATATAAACAGAGTATGTTTGAAATATAATGATTCATATATCCGAGGCTGTGACTTTCGTTCTGGACTCAACTACTGGGCTAGATAGGGAAGCGGGACCAATCAGAACCCTAGGTCGTTCTACGTGTCTGCGCGTCTTTGGTCCGATCGATAATTCGCTACCCTTTAATCAGCTGCTACTGTCTCACAGATATAACAGGTTGATATGAAAAACTACAAATTTCAGTCTGTTTAGAAAATAAATTTATACTTGTATTTTAAACTCCTCTGGATAGTGAATCTGTGTTATGCAATAGGGTACAAATGAAAGTTATCTCATGATCGAACTATTGAGAAATCGACTGGAAAAACATGCTTCACATGACTTGATTCTTTTCATATTTATTGTTTAAGCTTTGATCTTTGAAGAAGGGTAATTTAATCTGTAAATAGTCTCAGTCACCCAGGGTTTTAATGAAAATGTAATGTAGTCATATCTTGAAATTGATATTATTTGTTTATTTTAGAGTAGTACAACACTTCGACACAACCTCATGTTGTCTGTAATTTATCTGAATAAATTCTAAAAATAGTCACATAACAATTTATTAAATTAATCGAAAGTTTAATTTGGAAATGAAATTCCTGGTTGTTATTGTTAATAGTAGTGACTATCTTTATCGTACCTATATCGATACAGAGAATAGAACAATTCAAATTTATCATTATTTTGTATGATGTACTCAGCAACAAATTATAGCTTTCATTTGGATATATATGTCCAGTTTGATTTAGAATTAGTCTGATGACAAGCTCATAAATTTAGGACAGTTTTGGGATATTCAGAAAAATATCCCGAAAATTATCCTGTTAAGTCTAATGCTATCCTTGAACGTGAAATGGTGTCATTTTCCTGTTGGTTAATATTCACGGTAGTCCTGACTGTATAAATATGCATTTTTCTGTAAAGTATCATTCCTATTCTTATTTTTCTCCTGACCCGATAAACAATTTCATCTACGGTTCGTGTTCTGATATATTGGAGATTAGGGAACAATACTGGGGTTGTACTGGGAGATCTGAAGTTGGTAAGTCGGTAGAAATTAAAGTAGTCACCCCGCGGTCCACAATAGACAATATAGTCAAATCGAGAAAATCTGTTCAGAATTCACTAGTGTCAAAAAGAAACTCATTAGGTGTTTTCCCCAACATTAACAACTGGAAGATATTAATACAAATATTAATTAACAATGTTTTGAATTATTAAATACGTATACATTTGTGATAGATGATGAAAGCAAAACAGTTTACCAGTTACTATAAGAAGTATTTCCTTGTTCTCTGTAATAAGTTACCTAATGGTGTAGGTTTACTATATGTCATTTTTTAGAAAAAAAGGTCTGTTTTAGATTTTGGTCTTTCAAAATGACTTGTTTTAACTGCTAAAATATTAAACACCATAATGTTTTGGATGATTATTATAAACCTAACAAATCTATACTTTAGTGAAAATAATAATTAATGAGTTATTATATAAATGTAACTCCAGTTAGTAATGAATTATCAAATATTTGAAAACGTTACACTTGTCTTCTCCCCTATTTATTTTCTAATATGTTACTTCAAAAATATCTGCTTGATCTGTTCAATAATGATGAATAGCTTTTTAAAGTTTATCATTTCAGCTTATGTGTTTCCAGCTAGAAGCATTTATCCAACTAATAAACCATTAGCTTGTAGAATAATAAGCGGAGATTATTTTTGATATGTGAGGAAGGCCCTCAGGTGAACTCAAGGAAGCTCTGAAAGAGCCAATGATATTCCATCCAATTAGCTCTAAGGAGGACATTCCAGAATCTCGACATGCAGCTTCCTGATTGAACAAATGCTAAGAACCCCTATATGCGTATTGGATGACTGTCGTGATGATTTCGTTTTTTTTTTTACTAAAAACTATAAATACCTGAGTGTTTTGTACTATATTTAACACTGTTTGAAATAAGATTCCTTCCCATTCGTCCTCTTTCTTCTAGTTTGCAAATTGGAGGGTTCAAGAGTTCGTGTGTTCCAAGTTGTACACGGTATAGCAAAAATCTAAGCTCTAGAATATAATATAATAGTTGCTTCAATTCTATTTTATATCATCAAATATGTATTAAAAAATTTGTAAATCTTTAAGTTTTAACCAACATGAAATAAATAATGCATCATGATTTATTCATAAGTTTAATCAATCATTTCACATATAATAAACAATTGCACACATAAAAAGGAAATTACTTATTATCAACAAATAAATTGTAATACATGAATTAATTAGTTAATTAATTGACAAAAATCAATTTGAAACTTACAGAACAATTACCAGTTAGATTTAAATTTTTACGTAAATGTTGTAGATCATCTACTCGTTCTGGCGGTGAAATAAATATTACATATGGATCAAGACCACTTGAACGTATTTTACGTAAAGACTATAATAATAATAATAATAATAATAATAATAATAATAATAATAATAATAATAATAATAATGGTAATGGTAATAATAGTAAAGTGTTTATTGTAAAATTCGATTATTAATAATTTGACAAATAATGATTCAGTTAAGTTTTAACAAGCATATGATGCTTTTTTTTGAATAGTAAATCCAATTAAGGAATGGTTTTGTTGTAATTCATTCAAAGTATGCATTAATTTTTTTTAAAAAAAAACTGATGTTTACACCTACTCGACTTTTCTGTGTTGTTTACGTGTTTTGTAATTCAGACATTGTTAACTCTGATTAGACATAAGATTAATTGTGTTGATCATAAATTTTATATAAGCTATAGGTAGTGCTTAATATTAACATTATATGTAATCATGAATTTAACGTTGATAGTATGATTTGAATAATTTTTTGGTTAGTGTTTTTTTAGCGACTTAGTTTTTTAAGGGATGGGGTCGATAACGCCATGGCCAACCCTCCTTCTTTGACCGGGTTTGGAACCGGCAGTAGCCCCTGAGGGGCTCCAGGAGTAAGTAAGTTTGATTTAAGGAATTAAATTTTCCTTTACTCGACAAATGTGATAAGTATTTGTCGGTAAATATATTAGATAATAGGATCTCTTGATATAAATCAATTAAATTTCGGAGAGTGATTGACAATGAAATCCACTCTACGTGATTTATCCTATTTCATAGACTGATCGGGCACAGTTCTGAAATAACAACAATGGGAATATATTAATCTTTACAGTTAATTATAATCATTATCATGGTTTATATGACAAACAACGTAATGTAGGGTTATGTTATCGGTTGGCTTTATCTGAAATGATTAGTGTCACCATGTGATAGGTGTTCAGAAAATCAAGTTTAATGACACAAAGTGAAAGGATATCAAAATATGGCCTAACTTGTCAGTAAAATATAAGTCAGTTTACAAAGTAAAAATGATACACTTGTAGTCAAAATATTTTTTAAAAAAAATAAATATGATTGAAATTGGTTTAAAATGTCAATAATTGTTAGATGTTCAATTTGTTGATCATTCAGGAATTTGTTGGATAAAAGTGTGATCATCAAGCTTGCTTATTCCCAGTTATATTAACACTTGTTGAACAAGATTGTGATTACTTTTCATCCAGGTAGTCAGTTAGATAAATCGTTAGATCCTGAATATATATATTTATTTAAGTCAACGCTGAAAGATAAGGGTACATTCAGCTGAAAGATTCTAGTAGTCACATGCATATTCTGTATTCAGTCCATTGGCTAATCATAATACAACGTATAAACGTAAGTGATGGAAATGAATATTGTTCAAAATGCAGTAGTGCAGGATGTGGTACTTTGAATTATATTTTCTTTAAACTTACTTTATCAATCTAAACAAATCATCTTAATAACTGAAAATTAAATAAGAAGATTCATTTTATGACCAATTTTAATGTCATTTCTGAGTTTCATATTTGGTTAATACTATGGAACCCCATTAAAAATAGCTGAATAGCTCTTTAATATTATTCGACATGTGCTCGGTAGTTTTACCTATGAAAGAAATTTTTGAATGATTTAAGCCCTTGATTGAAAAATTTGCCTAGTGAAACTTCAATTACCAATCAATTAATCGGAAAGCAAACCGTAAACCTACTAAATAGAACCAGGAAGAACAAATTTACTTGAGATCTACAAAATACCATTTTAACACACAGGTATCTAAGACTGAACGAGATAACTAAATTAAACAGAATATATTTGTACATATAAAGCCTTCAACATATAATTTCTCAATACGTTGTTTTCAGTTATTATTTTGAATCACATTTTGTTTGCGGGTTGGAGTTACTACTTATTGTTTCAATCACTAAGTTACCGATCAACTAACACTATAGTGTGAGCTACTTATGCAAACAGATATAAGTATTATGTAGCAGGAGTTGGAAGTGGAATGTTTACCAGTAGAAGATTGAAATAAAAAGAAGTGAAAGAAAAACAGAGAGCAATCAGAATAACAACAGGATTGAAAGAATGATGGAGTATGTGCAAATGATGTATATGATCTATGATTTCCATATTTTACAAACTGAAATAAAACTGATCGTATCAATATTCAATTATTGTATATTAATTATGCGGCCAGCGATGGAATCCAGGATATGTTTTTTTCTATTCAGGACTTGGCTTTGGGATAGAGCTGAGTCTGTGCTGTTAATCACATTGAAACTTTAACTTAATATCTAATGTATCAAACACCAACTCTTTATTCATTAAAGTACCGAGTCCAAACAATCAATAGCTTGATCGACAGGTATAATGGTATTAGTAAGGCTTTGTGATATATGCTTTAATTAACTTAAACTAGTCAATCTCCGTTACTGTATATGTAGCCTGGGAGGATTGATTCAAAATTGAGTCAATATAGCTTCCTGGATTCCACTGTAATACATATAACAACTAAACTAAAACTTACGATAAAAAGAAATATCAAAACAATCTACTCAATATGTTGATTTAGTAGCAGAGGTTGATCAATTGTAAAACCGAATATCAACAACGGGAAGTTAAAAGTACATTGACTGATAAAACAATTTAAATTGTTAACAAAAAAGCTTACATCAGGTCTTAAAGATATACAACATATTTTTCCGTCATTTACTAATTGTTGTACAGTTAATTTACTAGTTCCATAATAATCACGATTAAATAATCCCCATTCAATGAATTCCTTTTGTTTACGTTTTAATCGAAACTCTTCTTCTGTAATAAAAATATAAGAAAATTTCGTATCTGCCTTCAAATTTGAATTTGTTGTATCTAAAAGAATAATTAAAAGAAAAAAAGGAAACAATTACGATGTTATTAAAAAAGGAATATTGACAGCATAGTTGGCAATCATAATCAAAGACTACTGCTTCTAACAAACAAAGTCAATAAAATATTTAATGGATTAAAACAATGAATGATTACATATTTATAAAATGAACAAGATAAATGAGTAACTGTTGACTTTTCAAATGGTAGTAAAGTACTGATTATTATTTATAAAGAAGAATAGTTGAATACCATTCTACACAAAAAAAACCCGACTTATCCTACTGTACAGTGAGTTATTTTACATGTTTCTAATACAGATTCAACTCAGTATTTAAAATTATGTAAGAAAAAGATACTATCATGGAGAAGATTTGTAGCTCAGGTGGATGATTTTGATTGAGTTTTGTTCTCTGAACTGGATGGTTTGGTCGTGGAGCTTTCATCGTTCTTCTGAACGACATCATCAGCACAAACGTCTAATAGAAGTTTTAGGATTAACAAACAAATAAACTAATGTGAAAATATATTTGATAAATTTTAGACATATTAATCATGTTTTAATACATTCGAAATGTGCTTACTATTAAATTCTTCAGAATTCATATACTATATGTACCTGAATCCTAGTACCGACATTCACAATCCAATTATACTAAATCTTGTTACCAGGAGGTAATATCGAGACCACTGTTCAATATGTATATATGTCAAAAAACTGATCAAATTTAGTCTTGAATATCAACAAAGATAAATTATAAACCATCAGTAATATTCATATCACCGTTAGAGAACATTTATTCATAACATTTGTTGCTTAAGTGGGTGACTGTCTGCACTTAGTCGCTCGAGGAATAACGTGTTGGATGTTTGACGCGAACAGCACTGGGCTCGAGTCTCGTGTGAAAATCACCACAAAATGTGAGCACATCCAGCTAACGAGTCCCAAATGGCAAAAAACCTGGCTCCTGGATTTTATTGCTAGCTAAAAATACATTCATTTTATTAAAAAAGTCAATTTTATAGATTATTTTACTACATTTTAGATAGTTAAACAGATTCGCTAAATAATATCCGTAGAGATTTCTTTGGAGTAGCATTAACAGATACTATAATGTAATTCATATTTTATGCTAAAAGCCGATCAACTATCATACTTATTCAACCACTGTTAGCATCATCACCACAAATGATTTTCGAAATGAAACTGTTTGAAAGAACAGTGATAAACTCAAAACTAGATGTGTTACTTGTAATAAATGTCACGTTACAAAATAACAGTTGATGCTTAACTAAAGAAGTTTATTCGTCTGAAAGGGTACTATATAAGTGACAAGAATAAAGGTTTTAGAAGCTAGTATCTCACTGTAATGTATATTCAGACATGTATAATAATATTGATAGCCTTAGTATGTGTGCATAGTAGAGATCTTTTATAAACACATGATGTAATATATTCTCTGAAGTTTCAAGTGTTTGCATAAAATATTTTGGATTTTACCATACATAACACGTAGTCAAGTAGCTAAAGTTGTAAGATATTACATACCTATTTGTCAAAATAATTACCGTAGATCAATATTTTTGTTGACAAAAAATTTATGTCAACACAAAAAGACAACAAAATGACTTACAAATAGACGCTTGAAAAAATCGATCAGGTTCTCGTTGAATGAGATGCTGTAAAATTTGTTGCCGTCCAACATGTGCTGGCCCAACAAACACAAGTGGCCGTCTACGAAGTGGTTGTGGGATATACTGAGCAACAGGTTCATAAGTCCATAAACTATAATGGATCATATAACCACGAGCAACTTCTTTATCTAACCATGCCACAGGATCATCACTCGACTGTAATTCATTGTCTGGGACTGAAAGTACGAAGGAGAATTATCTCTTAACACTAAAAACTAATATAAGATGCCAGCGAAAAAAGGTATAGGAGTGCAGTTTTAAAGTGGTAGCTTAAATAAATCAATCAGGAATTTTTACATAAAAGTTCATTCGTAACGTAGTGTTTTTACTCTCTGCACTAACTTAATTTCAATTCGGAATTGGATACTGTACACCCACGTTTGGTCCAACTGTAACTAATTATTAAGTTTTTTATGATTAACTGATGAACAATACTAGTACTGTTATCATCATTTTTACTGCAAGTAGTGATGTTAGCTGAAAACCTAGTTTGGGCTTGATTTTTTAACTTAAACTGTCACACTACTCATTAGTACAGAAAAAGAAATTTGATAAATGCTAAAAAGTAGAAACAAATGAAATAAATAAATAACGAGACAATAAACACGAGGATATACAATTATAAAATACATGGTGAGTGAGTGTAAATGCTTTCTTGAAATTCACTTCTAATCACCTCGCCAGTGCTACAATAGTTTTTGACACTACATATTAACGTTACAATTAAATGAGTTAATATGTGGAGATTTAAGTATATTATTACTGCAATTTTCAAAGAGAATCGACTTTAGCAATGAAATTACAGAAAAATTAGGAATTACAGCACTACTACTTTGAGACTCTTCAGCATTGAATGCACACGACTGCATAAAACAATGAGACTAGGAACTTTAGGTCACGCAGTAAACAAGATGCCATGAGATTGCTTAGTTGAAATCCTGTGGATACATCATTTCTATCATAAAAACACCATTATTTCTCTTTAAAAATTTTCAATTATTTTTGATTTTAAAATGTTAAATTCTTTCGGTAGTTACGCACTCATACCCCCCCCTCAATTTAAACAACTTATTAGAACTATTCACACAAGTAAAGTGTGTTAGAAACACAGTAAATAATCAATAAATAACCTTGTTGAATTCTTTTTGATGTCATTTACGCAAACGATATACTCGTATTTAAAGCTACTGAAAAATACCTTATTACACAACAAATTATTTTGAAGTTTTAGATGTCATAAGAGGATTCTATATCGATCGCGAAGTTAAAGGAATATAATATGATAAAAACCAATGTATGAGAGATAACTGTTCACTTAAAGAGTCTGAAAAAGTTATCGAACAACGTATAAAGAAAAAATTTCATCTTCTTGATGTTTTATTAAAATTGTCAAAGGTCTCCCAACAAAGATTCATATATAAAAAACAAATTTGGAACTATCAATACACATGGATTCTCAAAGTTCGGTTCCATTGAGCAGAAAGAGAGATTTAATTTACCCTTTATTTCCGAGAGTCAATAATCTATGCTTCGATGACACGATAAACAACGAAATATTTCAACTTTCATAGACATTCATCAAAAATCACAATCCATTCAGGTTAACTGATAAAAACCTAAAACCGAAACCACAGCCTAAGAGGTCATACGCAGTCCGAATGAAAATCTTTTTAATGAAAATTGGGTTTAAAAGAGTAACTAAAGTATGAATTATGTGAAACAGACTTTCTAAGTCTATGAAATGTAAATTAAAAGGCACGGATTAGCGAAACAAGGACAGTATTCCTACAGTTGAAGAACATATGGAACTTAAAACAACTGTCAGCCAATATCAAAGTCACAATTTTTAACACGAACGTCAAGATAGTTCTACTGTACGAAGCTGAAACGCGAAGGACTACTACGATAATCATCAAAAAGGTACAAGTATTTATAAACAATTGTCTACGTAAGATAATGAATATCCGTTGGTCGGATACCATCAATAACAGCCTTCTGTGGGAGAGGAAAAACCAACTTCTATCTGAGGAGAAAATTAGGAAAAGATGATGGAATTGGATAGGACACAGATTGAGGAAATCATCAAACTGCATCACGAGACAAGCGCTAATTTGCAATCCTGAAGGAAAACGAAAAAAAAGAAGGCCAAAAGGCACACTGTATCGGGAATCGGACATGGAAAGCATGAATAGCAACTGGAAAGAATTAGGAAGGACTGCCCAGGACAGAATTGGATGGAGAATGCTAGTAAGAGGTATATTCTCCTCCATGAGAGGTAACAGGCGAAAGTAAGTAAGTAAATCAGACCGCATCATACTAGAAAATAGAAAATAATAATTATACAAATTCAAGCCAAAAGTGGCTGTGAGTGTGAGTGTGGGAATAACTTAAGAATAGTAAGTCGTATAGTAGTAGCTAAGAAGTCAAATAGAAACTTATAATGAAATGAATATGAATATACATATAATATAGGTATTTAATAATTATACAATAAGAATACACATATATGTAATAACAGTCCATAAATAGATCCTAGCAATTAACATTCACTTATTATTTTTCCGGATATAACAAATTCTAATGATATTTTGTTAGTTTTCAGTTAGTTGGTATTATCATTTAGACAATTCCAATTTTATAATTGTAAAGCAGAAAAATATTTTCCTTAAATTTATTTTCATTTTTTTCTCTTTTAATTTCTCGATCATTGGGTACTTCTCTTTTGACATATGAAATTTCCGGACAGCTTTTACGTTATCCTTCTTTTTATAGATTACAATACTTTTTAACTTAATATGAATACATCTGTATAGCTTGAGTAAATGATATTATAGAAGAGAAAATTTTCATCCAATGTTTGAATGGATTTCTTCCTTTATTTGATCCTATAACTCACTGATTTTTGTTGACTTCCAAGATAAGATGCCTATTTTCAAATATATCCATGTTCATTAAAACAAACTTAGAATTATTTCTTAAACAGTTTTTAGTTTCCTGTATACCACAAAATTACCCAAGAAAATGTCAGTCGTTAACGAAATCAGCTTTCTAGAGATTGACAGGGTATTGAAGACCATATTTAGTAGGCAATTTGTAGAGGTACAAAAGAGCTCAGCCCATATAAATGGATGAGTGTCATACAGCTTACAGAAAAAAAATTTTAGTTCCATTTACAAGAGGTTACGTGAAGTCTTAATCAATATCAGTTAAAATAAATAAGAAATATAAAAATTTCCCTTTATTGTTTGTCATTACACGATATTTGTCACACTGTAATGTTTATACAAATACTTGACTAATTAACATTCAAAAAATGACTTGATTTGAAGTTGGTTTAAGTCCTAGACTGACATCAACTGATAAGCTATTTTTCGAACTAGAAAGCACTAAATAACTATTTCATATAGGTGTTGCACTCCTTAATAATTTATACTCACGATCATGCCATAGATCAGTACAAGAATCTACAAATCTTGCAGTAAGCAAAACTATCGTGTTATGACCTTGGATATCTGGGTTTGCTATCACGCGACCTATCGACCAATCCGAATACGAATCTTCATACTAGGCCAACCAATGACGTCCAACCGGTGTGGGCAGTCTAGCGTCCTTATTGGTCCTATGTCCTACGAGCCCTTCCACTTGAGTCCAGAACACAATACCAGCTTCGAATCAGAGCGGATCGTTTATTTCAAACATACTCGGTTTATATATCAACCAGACAGACCACAACACACCATAAATTAGAAAAATAAGCCAAAAAGTGGCTGTGAACGCGGGAGATAGTAATTAATAGACTGAACATAGATTAAGAACCGTAAATCGTATAATAATAAATTATAGGTCAGAATAAAGCTTATAATAAGAGGAATATAAATATACGTAATGTAATTGTTGAATAATTACACAATAAGAATATCTATAGAATATTAGTCTATTAACAGTCTTCGGAAGTGACCTATAACTTAATCTTCACTGGATTATAACAATCGTGAAAACACGTTTTTTCTAAGTGGTTTTCTAATTACTATCAGTCCATGACTAAAATCATTTGATTGCTTGTTTATAAACCAGAGTGATTGGGTTTTTTTCCTTATTTTCAACTCCAAGTTATCACTTTAGTCTCTTATTCCATTTAATGTATTACACGTTAGAAGTACAAATTTCAGAAAGTAAACTACTCATAACAAACTGTACACCAACGTACAAATAGTCAATATAGTAAATACAAACAAACAAACAAAAAACATTAAGAAAATTATTTGTTGAATATAGTTATTAAACAACGACTACTAAAGAATAACACAAGCAATCAAAAGCTAACTCATATACATACATAAATAAATGGACACAAGTCACTACAATAATTTGCATATATCTTTATTGATCAATGTATAACTAGTTAAAGATAGGTGCTTTTTTAGTATCATCTGAAAAGCCAATCGATATATTACACACATATAAGTTTTAGACAACTATTTAATCCACTAGATTTATGTTTGTTACTAAAACATAATATAGTAGATAGAAAAAGTGCCGCAGCAAAGATTAGCATTGAAAAAAAATTCTTGAGAGATATGATAAAGCATTTTATTAATTAATCTATATGACTGTAATTGGACAGATAAAGGCTTCAAGATAATTAAAACTTAGAGAGAAGTGAACAGTTTTATTTTATTGTAGCTTTTAAATTTTCCAACAGTATATAGCTGGGTATCATACGAGATTGAAACTGTAACATACCAATGAAGGTGAATTAAGATTATGCTGTCAACATGATGACCGTGACCAGTAGTTGAAGACGTTAAGTGACATGGTTCAGAATCGATTACAGGTGAAGATGTATCTACTTCTTATTTTACTCTAGATTGTTAATTTCAGTATTCCTTCATGCCCATCCTTTCATTCTGTCTTCACGAACCGTATTCTCAAACTCTGATCTTTCCAATTATCATTGATATGTATTATCTCGATACTCTTCTTATTTATTTTGTTAATATAATCTCGTTGTGCTAATGTGGTATGGCAACTTGGACCAACACATATTTGTGCCAGGTTCTATGTTGTTTATGACTGATCGATTGTCGTGAATTGATTTAATCCATAAAGTGTGGATCATTGGATTTTGTCATAAGATTATTTACCATAAAACTAAAAGATCTTAGATCTAATCCCATGTGAAATGTAGGGTGTGTATTGCTCTAAAAGGACCTTAACCCAGTATACAACAACTGTTCACTGTTTAATAGATTTTACAATAACTATCTAGCTGAAGTTATTGTGTAATTAAAATTGCTTTTTAATTGTACAAACGTTTCCATATAATCATCCTATCCAGTAATAATCAATAAATGACTATTCATTTGGGCATCTAAGTAAATGTGGACAAATTAACCAAACAGATAAGGAGTAAACATTAAAATACTATGGTATGATGGTGTATGCTACTTATATTGAGATATAAATAGTATGTAACACCAGTCGGAAGTAGAATGCCTGGCAGCAGAACATTGAAATGAAGAGAACAAAAAAGAAATCGAAGAGCAATCAGAATAACAATAGAATTACAGGAATAATGGAGTATATAAAGGATAACGCAAAGAAGATGTGCAAATGATGTAATTAATGCATGATTTTCATATTTTACTAAACCACTATGTGATTTTGCATTAAACAATAAATCGGTTTTTTCCACCTGAGTTTTTGTTTGCTACAGTACAAGTAGTAATGATAACATTAAAATGACAATGAAACTGATAAGGGATTCACTCATGTAAATAACAAGAAGGCATAAATACATCTTATGAAAATGAAAATCACTTCAAGTTGTAATTATGTAAGTAACTAAAGATCTACTCATATGGCTAAAAAAAGATAACTCCATATTTCTGGTAGTTGTCAGGATAAATTTCGAAATTATTAAGAAATCATGTGACAAAATGCACAAACGTTGTGACGTTTAAAATTCCAGAATTTATCTACATAGCTAACTCAAGAGTTATTAATTAAAATACAATTAAATATTTAATTTTAGATCAAATTTGAACAAAATAATTACCAACTTACTAACAAAATACTTACCAGGAACAAGAGATGGATAATACTCGCCATGGTTTTTATCTTTTTTCCAAGATCTTAAACCTTCTAGACATGGAGATGATCTGTTTGTTGAAGAGAGTTTCCGTCTATTTCGTTTACGATGTGCACGTAAAGTTCGAAGATCATAACCATGTTGACCCCATACTGGTCCAGCAGCTAATAAAGGAAATTAAGACAGAGGATATAGATTTCCCGATATCATCTACTTCCTAGTGATCACTAATCAGTCTCTACAAGTATATCGTTCATACTGTTCAGTTGTACATAAATCTGTGAATTTCACAAGAACTTTGTTTCCAATTATATTCATAATAAGATATAAAACAGTTAAACCGTTAATAGTTTTTTTTATTATTGTTATATTAATAAGCAAGATTAACCTCTTTTAGTCGAACCTAACACATTACCTATATTTAAAATGCTTAAACTATTTTTATAAATTATATATCAGCTCCCCGATACTTTAGTGTAATATTTTGAGACAATTCTTTGAAAACTGATGGTGTTTTCTTATTACTAAAGCGAGTACATAGTTTCACCGAAGTTAATACCTATATACTGAAAAATATCAAAGGTATCTTTAAGTACAAGACTTCATTACAGACATATCCAGTTATCTTAAATCAAGCATTATTTATATAAAATCACTTTCTATTATTTCATTTTCTGAGTTGCATATTTTAGTCAATAAAATTTGTGTTGATGATCCATATAAAGTCAATAAGAATTTCATAAGTAAATCGTTCGACCCAAACAACAACGAATCACCAACAAGAAATACATTTATCAATTAGAATAAATAATAACAAAAAACAAACCTGACCATTCATTGATTGCATTAACTGAGGAAAGATCAGTAGGTTTTGTTAAACCAGACATACGATCACCATAAGCTGAACTTAACACAGTACTATTCATTACACAACGTGAATCATCTTCTGGTGTAGATACAACTCCATCCGTTAAATCACCTTCACTTGTATTCACAGATGTCAGTTCACTTTTTGAATCAGCTTGATTAGTATCTCGACCTGATGGTGAGGTAGATCTACTACCAAAGTGTGTATTTTTAAGTGTTAGAAATTTTATTCCCAAAAACCTCTTTTCTTTCGATTTATTTGTAGGCTTTTCTGCTTTATTAACAGTTGATCCAGTTGAATCAGAGTCTGTTGAATCTTCTTCCAATTCAATGTCTTCAGTTCCACTAGTTAACCAATATTTTAAGCGTAATATAGCACGATTACGTTGATAAATTGGACTAGGTATGAGACCAGCTAATGTTCCTATTGCACCAGACAAACCACGTTCTTCATCACTCCTATAATAATAGATTCATAAAAAATACATATAATAAAAACGAATGAATTAGTCATAAAAAATTATTACTAATAAGTAACATTAAACACTGGTATACTTTGTGTAACAACATAAACAAAATACAAACAAGCTGAAGACCTTTTTTTACCATAAACCTAAATTAACTAAAGCAAAATACTGAAATAACAAAACGCTGAGCTGTGCTTTCACTTGACACATTAGACAAGAATACCTCACATAATCTGTTAGCTGTTAAGCCAGTTATTTCCTTAAATTATCCTTAGCATATTCATTTTTGAAGTAGCTATGTCTAAACACATTTAAAATCACAATAATACATGGGATATATCCGATTCCCAAGAGATGATAAAGAGTCATTGGTAAAGGATAATAGTTATTATGATTTATCAACTTACCGTAGGTTTGATATACATTCTCAAACTAATCATCCACACACAAGTGATTCTGTAAATATCCCTAATAAACAGAATTATTTTTGTCCCATATAGGTGGGTCATAAATCGTTGCCTTATTTTTCGTTGAGTTATCTAGGCGGATAACTATCACATGTTTTCCTATATATACACACATAACCAACTAAATCATCACTACGAGTCAAACGCGTGTCTACTAACATCTGGAAGTTATGAATAAGTACAACTAATTGATTATATCAAGATATTATACATCTAACAAAAACAAAACTAACTCACCGATAAGCTTGCCACCAATTTGGATCTTTCCTGCCTGTAACGTGTATAATGTCTCCTTTGGTAAATCCTAAACCCAATTCTTTACATGCTATATAACGGTCGTCAGTGGGTTCATAAGTAAATAATGCACGTAGATGTATCTGTCAAATAAACAACGTATACATAGAGATCAGGAAAATACACATAATAGAACGAAAATCATCAAACTTATTGACACAAACAACTCCAGGTAAATTAAAACAAATAAATTTGAAAACAAACCCTAAAATTGTTAATAGATAGGTCAGTTCTGAAATTCGAAACATTAACCGAATATCATTACTTATCAGCAGAATAGTTTTAATTTATACAATTTGTATTTATACGTGAATAATGAAGTGAATAGATTCAATTCACTGAACCATTAAATTGATGATTTCGTAATCTAGAAAAATCCGTGATTTCCGTTAGAACACTTAAAACATTAAGTTAAGAGAATGGATCTATTCAAAAAATCGCTTTTCCAGTATCTACATTTTTCCATGGAATTAAGGTCTAAGAAATACGTAAATTTGCCTGGATACCATCAACAATAGACTTCTGTGGGAGAGAAAAAAAAACAGCTTCCAGATGAAGAGAAAATTAGAAAAATATTATAGAAGTGGATAGGATAGATATTGCGCATATCATCAAACTGCATAACGAGGCGAGCCCTAACTTGAAATCCTGAAAGGAAACGAAAAAGAGAAAGACTCAAGAAAACACAGCGTCGGGGATTAGAAGGAAATATCAAAAGGATGAATAGCAACTGGAAACAACTGGAAAGAATGGCCCAGGACAGAGTTGGATAGAGAATGTTGTTGGTCGGCCTACACTTCTCCACGAGAGGTAACAGGTGAAAGTAAGTATCATATGTAAATAAATGGATATTTTTATTCAAATAATTGTTGTCTGTCCTGATTACTAGTAGTTAATATTACAATCCATCGTTTCCTCCTGTTCTTTTTCATTTAAAAATTATCACACATTATCTTCGAATTTTAATAGTTGGTGTACACACAGTTACTACTAATAATTCTTATTTAGCATATATGGTTTCCAATATTTACTTTTCAATTTAAAATTTCGCCTCCTACTGATTACATAATTATGATACATGCAATTGGAAGAGAAGGTTGGGTCCAGGAATATCCCACTAACTATTACACTCAACTACTATCACAGTTTTGGTTGCTTTTTAGTAATTCCATTTGTTATTCTATCAGTTTCCTTTACAATCTAGCGCAGATATATCTCTCATTTAGATAAAAATCAGGGGCAATTTCTTTGACTTAAAGAAAAATAAAACCAAGTTAAAATTTGGATGATGTTCCTCATTACAGAGGAGTACTGAGCGATGTGCATTGATTCAAACCTTATTGAGGTTCCGGTTACCCCCAAACCCAACGGGTTGAGTTTCTTAGTTTCGGCTGTCCTAAGTAATTAAAATAATCGATTGCATATTGTTAGAGTTTAACTTTCGAGTTAAAAATAAAATTCAGTATTCTAATATTATAATCTGAACATACAAACAGAATTTCAGTTCAGTTTATGAGCTGAATACATCTTGTAATAAACCATTATGGAGAGTATATAATTAAAAATCATAGTTAAACGTTTTACTGTTGCATCATTTAAATTCATGATCACTACTTTTTTCCCATCCTGTCACATCACCTTTTTTAATCATCATCTTATACAAACAATAAATGTCGAGAATTACAAGACAATACTTTCATAAAGAAATGGTTCAGCGATTAGACTACTTGATTTTTAACCACTATAACGTACAGTCGAAAATGATTATCTACCTATTTTCTTAATCTGATAATTCAAATAAAATCACTAAATCTAACATGAAATATTCCGATAGTTGAGATCATGAGTCAATTAAAGCTGGAACACCATAGAAAACCTGGAAGCACTGGACGACCGTTTCGTCCCATTATGGGACCCCCCAGCAGTGCGCATCCACGATCCCACCCCGCAAGATTTGAACCCAGAACCCATCGGTCTTGCATGAGAACGCTTAACCTCTAAACCACTGAGCCGGCACCTAATGGTGTTAATGTCTAACTTTAACTACTCCACGAAATTGAGTGACACATCCACCATGGTTTTCAGTGAGTTACTATCTCACAACATATTTGTTTAAAAACTTTGTATTCAATTATTAACCTGTGCTCACAAACAAATTTCAAATAATTATAATCGTAAGAACTAAAGATGAATTTGCTAGAATCATTTATTCGCCTGAATAAATGTTGTCTTGGTCAAGATTATTAAGCTATTAACAAATTCCTAATTATAATGATAATAAGAAAAATATAGAATTATCTAATACTTACAATTCCTTTAGTCGATATTGATGAATATGGATCAAGTGCCGGTGCAACAAGAAGAACAATTCTCCCATGTAGTGAAGCCTAAAATAGAAGTTGTTGTTTTTTAAATGCAGATGTATTACCATTTGATATAAAACAAAGTTAATACGTTTGAAACAAAACTTCTTAAATTCAATTAAAATGAAAAATAACCTTTTATAATCATTTCAAGACAATAAGTTTGTAATGAGCATTAAATGTCGTTGTTTTCACGTTGAATAATGAATGGATTAAGAGTGAACATCTTTATTACATAAGAGTGAAGCACACTCAAATAAATGCTACATTATAGTGTTTTATTCGGATGATCCTATTACATGCTATTTCTGTATTATCCTATTACTAATTTCTTATTAGGTGTAAATTACTTCATCTCTATTGGAATATAGTCAATGTAAGTAAAGACACTTCATCTTTAAACATGATCACAGCTTAATTATGTTAACCTTTAAATCAATTAAAAAGATCCCTTATTACCAATACACAATCACAGTCAAATTAAATGAAAAAGTGCCAATTTTTAATTAATTTCTAAGGGTGATTGCTACCCTGACATGATGGTCGGTTATGCTTACTTATCGTAAAGACCAAGTCGAGCTACATTGGCTGGAATACTTATTCTTTTAAGTCCTACTATACTTGACAAGGCGGTTGAAAAGGGATAAGACTAAAAGCAAAAACTTAGAGTTCGAAGGCACAGTCTTACTACCTACTGTACTGACTTCTGATGGCAGTGACATCCTTACCTTATACAAATAGCATTTACGGCTATGCTGCCTTCCGACATCAAGAGGAATGGGCTAGAAAAGGTGAGGGTTAAAATCAATACAACTCATCTTGCCTTACTAATTTACGCTTCAAGCAGTAATATCTTTAAAGTATGGGACCAATACATCAAGAACTACTTGAGAAAAAGCTATATGTGACCAACCTCAAACAGTTTTCCTTTGAACTCCGTGGTCACACTACCAGGTCGCCAAGACCAATACTAATCATGATCTTCAAGAAACATCCTTTTACGGTGTAAGCAACCACGGAATGATCTCCACACATACATATGCAAACACCTCAAACAGTGCAGGGGATCACCTTGGTCACAATTACAATGGGGTTACTACAATCACATCCCTTCTTTACTTCTTAAAATATTTTTATCCCTACTATCAACCCTATTATAGCTTCATCTTAATCCCCAAAGCTAATTGTTAGAAGAGTGAACCAATCCGTCCCTGAAAATGTATTTATTTTATCTGGAAATGTTTGAATGTTCCTTTTACTCATATCTTGTTATTTGATGAACGTTTGATAAAAGGATCCTAAAAGCGGATTGTTCCGCACTGTTATCTTATTTGACTGCATCATCAACCAAATAAACATCTTTATCTTTATTGAGAGCTCAACTCAGCACCGATTTTTGTGAACATTAAAAAGTGACATACACTATGTTGTGAAATCATAACTCAAATACTCCAAGTTCAATGATGCTTTTTAAACTGGAGATATCCATTGTAACTCAGCATCCAAAGGAATGAAAGCGTATTTTTCAAAGCGATGAAAGTTCAGTTTGACTCTTAGTAGAAACATTAAAATTCATTAAGGTGTGGACAAATTCTATTAACAAGTTATATATATGAAGATTAAGCTACTAATAACTAACAAATATCGTTTATTAGTCACAAAAGAAGTTAATTGACCTATAATTCCCATTTAAACATTAAAAACACGAAGTTCGATGAGGGGATCTCTTTTCAACGAATTTATTATCAAGCTATACAATCGTATATATATGAAAAATCTTCATTTATATTAAAATTAGCTTAGATATACTATAAAGTTAGACGGCAAAATACTAATGATCATCAGCTACAATTAGTTTGTCACCATTATATTACCATTTATAAATGAACAAAAGTGCTGAAGAAACCTTGAAAATATTTAACTGATTCATTCATTGCATAAATGTATTGTGAATAAAATTGCTTACCATGATATCACATACTGTATTCAAATCTTTCCCCATTAGTTCAATTCCATTGACAGATAACAGTTCATCACCTTCGTGAAGAAGATCTAGTTTACAAAATATTTTAACATAATGGAAACGTTAATATTTCAAAAGTTTCTATTTGTTGTGAAAATGTAATGTGAATTTGGAATATTTAACACAATACACCCCACAATGAGGTATTAAGAATGACAAATGGAGTCTTTAAGTTCCAAAGGAATTGTAAACGTCGAAACGTTTACTGACAAGAAATGGTTTTCAACATCATTCAGTGTAATTACGTAACTACTGAGTAAATGCTATGTCTTGATTCGGAAATCTTCAGCACTCGACAAGTATGAAAACACTCAGGACTAGATAGAGGTACATTAATCTCAAAAACAAAGTTGGTTATAACCAATCTTTTTACATCTGAGATGTCATGGAGAATATCCAACGCTGAAACTTTCGTTAACAAACTCTATTTTATTTATAAGAAAGGGAAGAACAATAGAAAACAGATATCATCCTTAATACTGCAAAGTATTTATATCAGAGTACAACTAAAAGTAGTACTTCATGGTTGAAATCACGAAATGACTTATCTAGACAACCATTAAAACCTGAGAAGCATTCAACAGCTAGTTCGTTCTAGCATGAGCATTCTTTATAGTGCACACCCACGAACTCACCGAAGATTGAACCCAGGACCCTTGGGTCCTGATGATAGCTTTTAACCGTTAGACCGCTAGTTCAGTATCCAGTGTTTTGCATGTAAACTACGAAATCCAACAATCTCCAAAAACCTCATATGATATCAAGTGATATTTATGCGAAATTCGAGTCACCATTTTTTAAAGATATAGTAATGTGTAAACAAACTTCATTCTACACAATTGGGTTAAGGACCAAATAGTTGTGCCACTATGAAGTGATTGATCGTTGATCTAAGTCATCTTCAGAGGTTAGAACCTCCCCGTTGAGGTTCACCCGATGATAGTTACTCCACGATTTTACTAATTTTTTTAGAACTATACTATTTTTGTTTAATTTGTTACTAACATAGGTAGTGCAATTTTTTTTCAACGAACATTTTATTCTGCTCCTACTAATTTTCATTACGGTTAGTTGAACAAACAGACATTTATACTAAATCCTTTGCTACTTATTACTGACTGATCACTATGATATTAACAGCCATCTTGAATTATACAAACAACTCAAATAAATAGGACAGCATAATGTACCAAGACAAATTCACCAGTAATATGTTAATCACACTACTCATAGTAAGTGTCATATACATTTATGAGTAACTGTCATTTAACGAATATCTAAAATCATACCATTACTCTACGATTACTTTTTGATTCACATTAGCTACAATGTAATAAACTTTAGGTCTAGATTTCGAAGTATTATAACTATAAACAAATTGATATAACAAACAGAAAAAATGAAATTAGTTTGTTAGTCATTTAAATACTTGGCTGATGATATACACAGGTAGACGCTTGAGAATAGAGCTGACTATAAATAGTATCTTTGTATGATTACAACTAATCACTGGGTCATTTGAGAAAAAAAGCCTATAAGTCATGTTCAATTTAGATTGTTTACGAAAGTTAAACGATTGTGGTATCTTAGATGAATTTTTAACGGTTGAATAGTTTTTAAAGTTAGTTTAGTTAACAATAACATATTGATTACTAAGTTGTGAGTACTTTAAACCAATCAAAATAACTGTTACAATGAATAGACATGAATGAACATTAGTTACTCTAACACCATTTTTTTTTCAATTTTTCGTTAATCGTTTCCTATCTGTTAAGTAGCTAAAGGTCACAATATCTCAACTGAATAGTTTACTTATAAATAACAATAAAAATTCTGTAACATATTCTCAGATATACTCAGTTAAATAGTTAATGGTTCTATCTTTTAAAATCTATTCACTTGAGATTTAAGGACCGATTCTGTGAGTATAACTATCATTTGTGTCAACTTAGTTATATCCATCTTCTTTTAAAATCGATTGAAATATCGAAGGAAATAATTGCACATTTATTTACATTGGTTACTTACGTGTCTTACAAGCTAAACCCCCATTAACAATCCGAGCAATTAGAATTGAATTTCTTTCCAAACGAACTGTAGCTCCCTAGCAAATATTACAGAAATAAAAACAGTAAATTTTATAAAAGAGAATTCGACAAATAAACATTTTCGTAAGCTTAAAGAAAAAGTGAAAAATCTGTAATAATTTATGCTTCATATTTTCATGAGCGAATTTATTATAATCAGACTTTTTCTGACTTACCAAAAATTCATTACCAGTTTTTTGAAGAATTACATATTTTAATCTAACTCCATGTTCTGAATAGGAGTCACGACCTTGATCATCGTATGCAAGTGTAGCGTAACAACCTGGGACAGAAGATTTTTGAATATATGAACTAGAAATAGAGTTTCTATCGATATCCTCTGACATGTCAAAACTTTCAGATGCAACAAAATCTTCATCAGCATCAAATAGCCATATATTTGCTAATCCATCCATAGCAATTAATAAGTTCTAAACAATAAGATATATTAAATGAAACTTAGAAATCACATGATTATTTCATTGTTTGGTGGAAATTTAAAATGTACTAAACAGTAACAACGTTTTAGTATATTGTAAATTATTTAGAAGACAACACACTATTGAAATTATAAAGTTATTATTCTAACTGTAATTCGCCAAGAGGTTTCATACAGCTGTCTAATAAACTTCACGTGAATCGTATAACTCAAAGGCAATGAAAACCAAATTAAATGTTATATTTACAAGAATTATCACTAGGATAGTAATTTAACTATTTTGTCACATGATCTGTACTTTCTTATGATAATAAGTTATAATATGTACACTTTTAGATTTGCTAAGTAATCACATTTGATAATATCCTGAACCATTCTTAATTCACTCTCAGTTCAGCTAATGGAGTGAACTAGTACATAATGCATGCTGTGATCACATCAACCCATGAAAGTTAACCATCAAATCAATTAACTTTTTTTAAAATTTAATGCTATACTTGCAACTTTGGTGAAATTTACTTACTAGACCGTAATACATTCAAGCAATTTGAGAAACTTGATAAGTATTCACTAACAGTTAAAACACTAATATCACTACTATATAGTAATGTTGCATACCTGAAATACAGGGGATGAGCATAAATTAAGTATTGCGGAAATACAATTTAAAGTAAACGCATCAAATTGACCCGGATTCTTCAATGCAGTTAATAACTGTTCTTTGACAGCTTCCATTGTGTCGTATGCCAATCCAGCTAAAACAGGCCAACGATATCTTGGTTTAGGATGCATAACACTTTTACAAGTCTCATATGCTTTCGCAACTTTGTCATGCATAAGAAATGCTTTTGATAAACTTGGATCGGATAGAACGTTTAAAAGCCACTCCCACTGTTCTGTTTCGGAATCCAAAGTAGTTTCATTTGTTGGAAGTGTGACGTCTGATGATTGAAATTTATTCTCATTCTCTTCTCTTAGAACTGGCATCTTCGTCCGCAGATAGCACAAAAGTTCCATGAGTTCTAAAATTTAACAAATCATAAACAAAAGATAGTTATTTTATAAAGCACGAAGAACTATCATAGTAAGATGAAGTGAGCTTCTTTCATTTCGTATGCTCTAAACCGTCCACATGTATACTAATTTTATAAATAAAATGTTTTTAAAAATAGAGTTTTGCGTTTAACATGTGTACAGCAATTCAATTTGCTGATCAGGAGTAAGTACTTACTTTCCAATACCTCATAAGTCCAATTTATAGAGAACACGATAAGTGTGAGAGAGACTATTCTTGCAATCAATCAAAAGAAATATGTGTATATTGTAAGAAATATTGAAAAAAACCTAGTTACTGCAAAAACCTCACTAAGTAATCATAAAAAGGTGACAATAATAATGCTGAGATGGAGGTTATTAAATGAAGTGTTTGCAATCATAAATTAAATTCTGATTACAACGAAGATTTAGGGATTTGTCTTATTGATAAAAAAACTTCAGATTCATCTCCCAGTTACATGGTTTAAGTATAAAGACATCGAAATATTGTTAAAAAGGTACGTTATTCCATCTCTCTACAATCAGCAAACGTTCAATTCAGGTCATGATATTACTGTAGACCCATAATTAACGCTGTAAGAGTGGTACTCAAAAATATTATTTTAATAGTGGTACATCATAACACTCAAAATTTTGGCGATAAAATCTGTTGAACTTGCAAGACGTATCACAACCAGGATATCAGTGACAGGGAAGCAATCCAAGACTACGTCTTTAGTATTTATCAAATTCTTAAGTTGAAACATGTCGCTGCTCCACACTAACATTTCTTCGGCTGCAAAATATGTTTGAATTTGCCGAATCACTCTTGTCTAACTTCGTCACAGACCTGCTACTAAAACTAATTCTTCATATAATTGACCTTTGGCAGACTGGTCTTTCACATAAAGACCTGTTGATCGATACCTATTTGCCAGGAAAAATTATGCCTATACATATAAGGTTGTGCGATCATATTGACGATCACTACCAATCTAAGAAGTATTTTTCACTCACTAAACGCAAAAGATGGGATTTGTAGCAGAATTGTGTCAATAATTATCCTAATAACAAACAATTGGATGACTGAGTAGATTAACAAGTAATCAGGAGTATTATGCTTGTGGCAAACAACAAGTTCCTCGTGGATTCCGAAAGTTGTTATTACGCAAAGTACTAAAGAATAATGAAGTCACAAGACAACCCCTCAATACACTAATTAAAACAACACCAAAAGAAAAAACACCAAGCAAACAAACTTTTGCTATTAGAATAATAATATGTATGGATCATCAATAACAATTTGAATAACGTATTTATCCATATATGGTCTAGCTCGAAACACTGATATATATAGATATAACAACACATATAATACTTTTCTCAGTAATTCTTCATTGTATGATTGCGTGAATGTTCTGTATATCATTTTGGGACAAAATATCCAGTACTTGAAAAACAAACAAATATTACATAAGTTTTATCTTTTTCACCTAAAAACTGTGAATCAATTTTTCTGTATTCTTAATTAGTTACCCTTTTTATTCTTATTAATACAAGGGTTAAATTAAAGCATTATGATAATCTCTTGTTTAAGTTCAAAATAAATTAAGATTACTACAAAAAAGCATTTGACATTTTATGTAATAAAACAGTTCTATTGCTTTACAATATATTTAGTGAAAAATATTCAAGACAATCGTTTTAAAGAGTTATCATTAAGTTTAAAGTAATAGGAGCGTTACAAAGTTTTATCTACTAGTTTGAAATTGAACTAGAGTTTTAGCTACCATAGAATATAAGATTGACTGAATTCTATTATCTTAAATTTAATATGAATTACTGTCAGCTCTGAATATGTTTGCGTTATCTACTATCCTCTATTTGCTATTTTCAAAGTTAAGAAAGCTCACAATTTTTCAGGCAAACCGTAATCTTGTTGCAAAGTTCAGCCACAGAAAAACATGTAAACTCTGAGGCTTTTTCACGGGTGAATGATCGATTATACCCATTAAAAAATTTCAAACCCATCTAAACTACACAGAATTACATCTACGATTAAAGTGCCCGGTTCTTATATGACTTCTCTGGTCCTATAATTATGATGTCTCTAAGATGAAATCTGTGACCACATAAGATTCGAGTTAAATAAATGTACCAAGGACCTAACTGATTTAACTGAGAGAAGAATCGCGAAATTACTCGTCGTTCTCCTGAAAAAGATAATCGATAACTCCACTCGTAATAGCCTACGACCTCGTGGGTCTCGTGTGCCCCACATTTATGGTTTATCAGAAATAAATAAACAAGGTACTCCTTTTAGACGTATTCTGTCAATTTTCAATTCACCCTAACACAAAGTTGCACGATGGTTAGCGGATAAGTTAAAACCAGTCCATCAACCATTAGCAAGGTATAAATTAAAGGACTCATTTGGATTTGCTAAAAGTATGAACCACATAAATATTGATGGTAACGTTTTGGTTTCCTTTGATATGACATCACTGTTTACAAAAATAGCACTTCTTGAAACCATAGACATGGTTTGCCAGCATTCTGACATTCTATCTCTACCAGCATCATAATTCAAACGAATGTTAATCATGTGTACAAAAGATGTTCAGTTCCAGTTCAACAATACCAGATTACCTACAAACTGATAGTGTAGCAGTGGGAAGTTCGTTAGGTCCTATACAAGCAGATATTTTCATGGTTGATCTCAAAAGAACCAAGCTCAAAGAAGTGATTGATGAAATGATGTATTATTCGAAGCATGTTGATGATACCTACAATGTATGTAATAATCAACAACATGAGACAAATCTGCTAAAAGTTTTCAACGAAATCCATACAAATATCCGTTTTGCTATGAACCATAAAAATAGAAACAAGTTCCATTTTCACGATATCGCAATAAAACAAAGGAAGGATGGCATAGTTCAACATTCAGTTTATAAGAAAGACACATGAGTGGGATTCATCTCAGTTTCAGTAACTTTTTTCCAATCAGTTACAAAAAACACTTGTTAAAACACTATTTCACAGAAAAAGGCAATACATACAGCCGATACAATAAAAGGAAAAGCCGTAATGAGTGCTAAAATCTGTTAAAAGAACAACGGATACCAACTGAAATTTATTCGGAAGTATCAAAAACGTGAAGATAAAAAACCCGAAGAATCTGCAGTAAGTAAAAAACATTTTAATTCAACTTCAATTCAAAGGTGATGATTTCACAGGTTCAATCAACATGAGACTAAAAACTGCATTGAAAAGATCTTATCTTGTGGCTAAACTGATTGTCTTGTCCGAAACAACGGGATCATTAACACAAAGGTCGATAGTTACCCCTTTCTTGTTACCACCAACTAAGTATACAAATTTTCATGTTTCTGCCAAAACAGTTTCATTAGTAGAACACAAAGGAGAGACTACGTCTGATTCAAAGAACATAGTTTGAAAAGTGTAAGGTTGAGTGGATTAAAAGCATTTGGTAGTGCCATCTCAAGACATCTCCTTGACACAGGTAATCACGTCGATACACTGAAGTCTTTCAATGTAATTAATAAGCAATCAAACTCCAATCTTTTAAAATTTGCTGAAGCGATAGCAAACAAACGTCTCAAACCAGATCTATGTATCCAAAAAGAGACAGTAATAAATCTTTCTTTGCCCCGGTAACACTAAACCCTCCTTTTTATTGATAACGTCATTCATTATTTCAACTCTTTCTGTCATTTTTCTTCCATACATAACTGGTTGATTTCAATTCATTTCTTTATTACCAATAATATGTTTTGGTTGCTTCATTACATAATTATCTAATACTTGCTAAAGCCATGACTTATAATCACTATTTCAATGTTTTGGAACTTTCCCTCCCAAACTTTATTTATCCAAAACAAACTTTTTATGACCTTATTAACCTAATCGAAACTTTCGGTACATCATGATGCACATATTCATCTCCAATTATCCCCGTATTTATAAATATGTTAGTACCTGTAATGACTTTTATTTTAAAATATTATAGGTTGTAAGCAGCCGATGAAAACCTGACAGAATAAAATGAATACATATTATTCTGCACCAATCTTCGTTCTTGCTCTTTTCAAGATAACAAAGGAAATTATGTGCATGGAATTCTTATAATTGAGTTGCGGCTATCGCTTGCATTCGCTGAAAGTTGGTTTAATCTTTGAAAACTTGTGTCATCAAGCTGAAACAACTCGTTTTCAAAATATTCATATGTTATTTCACTGCGTGGCTTTTTTATTTTTTTATTTTAACACATAGATATTGGTACAAGGAGGCACTAAATACATATGCACCACATAAATCACTCGATTTGTATGGGAGCTAGGATGCTGCCCGGGTGCCCAAACCGAAGCAGGTGGTTTCCTTAGTGAACCACACCCCAAGCCTTCGACTTGAAGGTCTGATCCACAAGGCAGTAGAGCATCGTAAGGAGATGCAGGCCCATGGTAGCCGGTGACCAACGATTGGTTCACACGCCATTTGTTCCTTCAGGATACTAGAGCCGATGTGCACCATTGGTTTGGAATCAGGGTTTTCCAACTCCCTCAGGTAAACTCTCTACGCCCACCAACCCGGTTAAAGCGCCGGACATTCGCTTTTCGTCCTCTCAGCTTTGTAAACAACATTTGGAGGCATTTCACTACGTGGTTCACAAGACAGTAATGAAGAGATATGTTTTGTTTTTAATCAACTATAAGAATGTTACAGTTTTATTATAATAAACACTATAAATCCTTCACACGAGTTACTTCATGTTCACAGTTCAGTGTAAAACCAAAAACAGTTAGCTCTTGAAGGTAGAGTTCATGCCCCAATCCGTTAACAGTGGTAGAGTCAAGAGATTGGTGTGAAACCAATTTTTTATTTTTTATTGTTGATAATTCTATTTGTTATCCTTTGTTAGTCGAGCGACAAATTGTCACGCTGATGAAGAATTAAATCAACAAACCTTGTTAGTGTTAGACGTTTTTGTTTGATCAGGTTAGTGTCTGCCTAAAAAGAGACAGTGAGCTATTGAAAAAAGGTTTAGAGAACCTCAACTAAATTGATTCCCAGGATAGCAAAGCTCCTATATGATGATCGACTGACTTAACCTATTTCCATTGAGATATAGAGGTGAATTGACCACAGTTCTTAAATTACTGAGTGATGAATTTACATATGATATACCATCACTTTCCTTATCTTCCAAAACAGATGATTCACGAGGACACCATAAGAAAGTTTACAAGTTCAGAACAAACTGCCTATCAGTTGACTATCGATTTTCTCACCGAATCATCAACAAATGGAATACATTTCCTCAACACGCTATTGGAGATCCATCTGTCAATGATCTCAAAGGAAAGTTAGATCGTCAGAGAGATCACCATTTCCGGAACTAACACAGACCACCTAGCCTCCCATCCTTTCTAAAATGAAACTGAATGCGCCAAAGTTACCGATCATTGAAGTTTTTATTGATTTAATTCACTCGTAATTTCTGAAAACTTCTGTTTTAGTACCCACCAACATTTTCGTCAAGAATATTGCTTCATCTACATAAACCACTTCATATGCTACTTATCTTATATGGATAAGCTTCGACATGTTCATATGAAAACTTGGTGTCAACATTATCGTTCGATACTCATATTGAGTCAGTTTCTACTGCTTTATTGTTTGTATGTATTCAATTCAGTTGAAATTAATCGTGGCCACGAGTTTGTTGCACAATAACCTACAACTTTGTCTCAGTAAGATCAATTATGCATTGAGAAATTTTAGATGTGAACTATGTTAATTGATATGCCATGGCTTTTAAATAATTCATTCACGATGTAATTAGACGGTAATAAACCACTGCAATAAATCGAACTCGTCATATTCTAAGTGCGTTATTCAAGTAACCTTGTTCAGAATGATTGATTCGATGATATTTATTCACGAGCATACTGAACGGGTTTTTCCAAAAAGCCACGTTTGTGTTCATACTTTTAGTAGTGTTTGAATAGGTGAGAAAGAGCCCTTTTACTGATGTCTGTAATATACCAAGTATCCACAAACACGTCCGCGTATACAGAAAGAATTTTGAAAACACAACCTAGACAATTTTTCACATCTCGTAATTACTGTTGGTCCATATTTTGCAACGTAAAAAAGGATTATAGATGAAATACAAAAGCAGAAATAAGTAAGCAACTTTCAGTACAAATTCCTGAACGGCGAAAGTATCGCAATATTTTACCATGACCAAATTTCATTGTTTTATAATGCGATCCGCTAATCAGATAGCTTTCATGACGAGACTTTGGAAAGCACAACGATAAGAATAATTTGATAAATCAGACGAGTTTAGCCAGAATTACAACAGAACCTTTGTAGACCAGCATATACACCAGGAAAGAAAATAAACCACAACAATAATCTGTACTAATATTGCAAGTTCTTAAACACAAAATACTACGATATTACTAATAAGCAATCAACGAACCTGTGCTACTTTCAACCTTTGAATCATCTTCAAATGCTTGATTTACTTCAGCCTTCTTAAATTCATCTTTTCTAATGATTCTCCTGTATTGTTCAATAGCTCGCAGACGACTAGACGCACGTAGTGAGGTACGAAGGAACTGTTTTTCTCCCTCCTTTTCTTTCTCCAAATCCTGCCTTTTCCTGACTTCTTCTGCATAAAACTCCAGGTTTCTATCTTTTTTGTGGCAGATAATTTGAAAAGAAAAACCCTACCCATCTGATTTTCCATAGCGAATATTAAATATTAGACAGTCACTAACGTCACCTTAAAGTAACGCAAACGTTCGGAATATCGCTCATCCGATAAGATTATCAAATGATTCACAATGGTTCAAATAGCTCTGCAGGAAATATAAAAACTGCAACTTAACGAGTTTCTGTATCTAATAGTAGTGGATCAACGATGTTTACTTTTAAGATCCTAGGTTATAACGCGCGCTTTTCGAACGGGAAGTTTAGTCCTAACGTGATTTCCATTTCTGTGTTCTTACGCAACGAAAGTACCATTTCTGAACAAAATAATCTATCCTGAGCTATACGTTTGGTTGACTACTTTTTTGTTTGAGTTTCACCCCATTTAATAGTTAACTGTGGTTTTACCTCAGTTTACCATTGGGTTATTTTTTCCAGTTTTTCTCGTAAAGACTAGTTCAGTTTATCTCATCGGTTTTATCCATTTTTGTTCGTTTTCAGTGTGCTTTTTAGTGTATTTTTACGGTCTTAGGCTTTTGCTGGCATCTACACAGTTTACGTCAATACATTCATGAAAAATTCATGCAAACGACCTGGATGCCGTTTTGCTGTTACATCTGGCATGCAGTGCGACAACTGCAAAGGTTGGTTTCACGAAGCGTGCACAGATCTCACAGCAACTGCTTACATCAGACTCAGCAAGTCGGATCATAATTGGGAATGTGTTACGTGCAGCACGGATGCTGCAGTCTTACTGAGTAATATCATTGTCCTACTGACAGGTCTGCAGTGCAAGTTGTTGGCAAACCTGGGGAAAGACAGTCAAAAAACGGGTAGAAAAACAAGAGAGCGCATTGAAAACGAGAACAGGGTTGTTGACAGGTCTACCAACGACGGAGCATGCAACAGCATTAATGATGACACGCTGAAACTCGGCACCATGATTACGACGACGGTACTCGACTCCCTCAGCAAAATCGGGTCTCACAGCTCAAGGTCCTCGAACGCGACAGTGATTCCCAAAAACTCTGTAGGTGATTGGACCCATGTCAAAAGAGATAAATAGGGCCAGGCGTCAAAATCTAAGTTGAATATCCCAGCTGTTGAACGGAAGTCAACTGGTGATCTGGTCGCACAGTTTACCCCCAAGATTGTCCGTCCAGTCATCAAAGAGCAAAGGATTCACAAACATGCTTCGACCCTCAAACAACAAGTTGCTAAACCTGAACGCACCGGGAAACCTGGGACGACAATAACGGTTCGTGATGACTCTCTCAAAGTCATGAACTTCAAAGACAACCCTGACCTTCCTCTAAATTTGCAGGACAAAATTGATAGGATGCTCTGGAGAGAATCGAACAAGAAACTTGGACTTCCAAGAACAGAGCCTTTGACAGTCACACGGCTCACTCGGGGAAAGGAACCTCAGCATCAAAATCACCCGAGGCTACTTCGTGTAACACTTAAGAATGCTACCGACGTAGAGGATGATTTACTAGCGAGTCACTTACTGAAATCCGATGGAAATGTAAGAATACTGCCTGACATACCGTATTCTAAGCGCTATCTTATCCGGAACATCCTCAAAGAATCTCGCGATAAGTTTTTCTGCGGGAGGAATATAATCGTGCAAGGTATACCGGAAAATACGGACCCTACTCAATCAAAAATTGACATCAGGGAATGGAAATTCATCAAACAGTCATTGAGGCTCAAACACATACTGACTCAGCATGTAACGAGGCTAGCCAAGAAGGATTGTAATTCTAGACCCCGTCTAATGAAGATAACCTTCCCATCTTCCCATATGGCGGCTGCAAATCTGGAAGCATTTCGTGCCAATAGACGTCGACTTCCACCTGGAATCCATATGCACCCGGATAGGCCATATGAAGCTAGGACCAAACACAAAGGCAAATTCGAGCTGACCATTTCACTTGTGGACTGTACAGACGATATTAAAACGTGTAAAGGACGGGGCCTACCACCTCGGCAAACCTCACATAGGTGGGCTACCTGTCCATTCACATAAGGCTCATACAGAAAAACAGGACGAAGCTCACGCGTTCCAAATTGAAAGCATAAACTGCTTATATATGAACGCCGCGAGTCTACCAAACAAATTGTGTGAACTACGTGATCTTAGCAATGCTAATAAGGCCCATCTGATACGAATATCTGAAACCTGGATATCTTCTCAGTTCTCGGACCATGAGTTAGCATGACCTGGGATGTCTTTGTTCCGCAATGACAGAAAATCAGGATGTGGGACGGAGTAGTTGTTTACATACGTTCTTGCTTGGAGGTGCATCAAGTTCACAACCTCGAGTTTAACAATCTTGAGGAATCTATATGGTGCTCTGTAAGACTGTCAAGTACTTCGAGGTGTCTAGTCGGAGTCATTTACAGGAAGCCAACTGCCGACATCGAGTACGATAGCCGTGTGCTGGAAGGGCTATCCCGCTCTACTCGTTTCGGTTTCACACATACTGATTCTAGGGAACTTTAATCTCCCTAGAGTCAACTTTGCGGAACACACGTATACTGAAGGCGACAACTCAATTGAAGCTCGGTTCTTCAACCTCACCGATGACTTGAACTTATATGAAAATGTGAGGTCGGCAACTCGTCGGAGAAACAGTCACACGCCGTCGCGCTTAAACTGTGTATTCACAAACGAAGAACTTCTAGTTGACATCCTCTCAATTCTGACTCCCCTGGGAAAAAGTGATCATGCCGTCATAGCCTTCAGTTTTGTCAGCAAAACTAAGCTAAGATACCCCACCAATATCTCACGTTGGAATTTTAAACGGTTAAACGTGCCAGCTCTACACGACTATCTACAACAGGTGGTTTGGGATGTTCACCCCCAACTCGATGTAGACGGTCATTTGGACTTCTTACTGCAAACGCTTTTACGTGCTACAAACCATTCAGTTCCTCAAACGGTTCCCAAAATCTGCAAGCCATCTACGATAATCAATAACCGTACCCTTCGCCTACTAAGCCACAAAAGGCACTGTTGGGCGGAATACAAACGAACTGACAACAACGGAGCGTACAGGCAATATAAATATATCAGGAATATATGCACGAAGGCTATAAGAAAAGATAGGCCTCAGTACCAGACAAAGCTTATGGACAAATTTGCCTCTAATCTTAAAAGCTTATTCCGTTATGCAGCCTATCTTCGTCAAGCCAAAACTGGAGTTTCCCAACTGGTAGGTCTTAACGGCCCGACCAACAACGATGGAGACGCCGCTAATCTTCTGGCTGAACAATACTCCCAGAGATTTCAACCGGCCGACATTAACTTTACTGATGACAGTTTCGTTTGCCATTCCACAGGACTTTCCAAAGTGAACCTAAGCGCTGACTTGGTGTTCTGGAAACTGCAGCACTTAAGATTAGACACTTCTCCTGGCCCGGCCATGGTCCATTCCGCCATACTGAGGGAAGCAGCCTCGCTCTTGGCAACGCCGCTTAACGTGATGTTCTCATACTTGCTTAGTCGAGGAGAACAACAGGAAAATTGGAAGCTGGCTCACATCACACCAATTTTCAAAGGAGGTCGACGCAGCGAACCTTCAAGTTACCGACCAGTGGCTCTTCTCTCCATACCCTCAAAAATCATGTAGTCCCTGATATGCGATGATATAAATGACTATTTACTGTCCTTAAATTTCTTCTCACCCCAACAGCATGGTTTCAGGTAGGGTTACTCTTGCACTACCAACCTGCTGACTGCGGTGGACAGATGGACAAGCATCCTTGATCCCAAGGGGAAGGTTGATATCATCTACCTAGATTTCTCAAAAGCTTTTGATAATATTAACCATACATGTGTTATCAATAAGCTCATACGGTTTGGTATCAAACCCCCTTATCGACTGGCTCACTTTGGACCTGAAAAATCGACATTTTAAGGTCGGGCTTAATTTCGCTTTATCTCAGGCTATGGAATATCCTAGTGTGGTCCACCAGGACTCAGTACTAGGACCCCTTCTCTTCTTGATCTACATAAATGATCTTCCTCAACAGGTAATGTCAGACCTATTACTTTATGCCGACGACATGAAACTTCAGAGAGATATACGCAACCAAGACGATATACAGGCACTTTAGGAGGATCTGACTCGACTTCAAATTTGGGCAGATGATAACGCACTTACTTTTAGCACTTCAACGTGTAAAGTAGTCCATCTGTAACCTGTCGCAAACTACAGTTATAACTTAGGTAACTCCTCTCTAGTAGTATCACAAGTCGAAAAAGATTTAGGAATCCTGGTGCTCAACGATTTAAAGTCTAACGCTAACTGTGACAAAAATGTCATCCGAGCAAACCTTGCACTGGTAACATTGAAGCACGTTTTGGCCAGTTTGACCGAAGAACTTTCCATATAATCTTCAATAGTTTTATCCGTCCCCATTTAGAGTACGATAACATAGTATTTCCCCCTTACTCCAAAAGGATAAAAAACTCTGGAGCGTATCCAACGGCGAGCCAAGAAATCAGTTCGAGGACTGAAATTTAAACCTTGTGAAGAGCGCCTCCATTTACTTAACCTCCACCTATTACAGTATAGACGTCTCCCAGGTGACTTTCCGATGGCCTACAGTATCCTTAACACTTCTGGACATCCTCTCAAACACCTAATTTAGTTTAGTTTAGTTCCAACACTAACCTAACAGGTAACACCCAAAAACTGGAGACACAACATAGTAGAATGGACTGTGGACACAATTTCTACTCCTTGAGAGTTGTCAAATGCTGGAATTCGCTGCCAGCCGAGCTAGTCCAAGCGACTTCCCAGGAGTCCTTTAAGAGGCAACTTGATCTATTCCTAAGGACTAAGGATAGTATCGCATTATGATTTACTAATATCTTTTCCTGTTTTATTGTTAACATACCTAGGTTTCTGCCTGAAAGATTTGGTGATCCCTTGCTACTAGACACGGAAGCCTGTCAAGCGAAAGCTTCTTCTATTCCGTACGCAACCATTTTAACGATTTGAACATCAGAGAAACTCTTTATCAAAAGTTGATGTGATAAGCTATGACAAATCCTTAACAATAATAGTCTTTGTATGTTTTTAAAATTCGAACTATTACGGTTAAGTTATACATCACGTCCAAACTCTACCTCAGATAATTTATTGTTTACAACACATTTCTAAGTTTATTTACACCAGTTTTTCAAGGTTGCCACCAAGCACGAACTTAAAGTTGATGGCGGACCAAGTGTTTTATGGTGAACTAGCGATATTAGGGTAGGAAGTTCACTTCGATTTAAAAAGATTTTCAATTTGAAGTGCTCCTCACTGTTTGTATCCGTAGCTTCTTGTTTTTTTATTGTTATAACTCTACTATCACGAATAGTCAATATGTTCCCAGTACTTCCCTCGACAAATCTCATAACAATATCCACTGTTCCGTCATTGTTGCGACTGTATCCTTTTAATAGATAGCTCGTTTGTCAGTGTATATCTCGCACTTGTAGTTACTGATATAGGACTAAGTTGGCGATTATTCAGTGACCAAACTTTGACCTGGACCATCCTATAAATGCTCGTACATTTACAAATATCAGACCAAATTATTAAACAAAAGTAAATCGGCCGTATAAAACTCGACTTTTCCGGCATACCGAGCGTCATGCTCAAAAAGAGGCACACTTGTTTTCTTCATTAAATATCACTTGATCGACCGGTAAGAGTAGACGTCCCAGAGAATTCCACGTCGTGCATTATTTGCCGACTCTGGGACTGGTTGGAAAAAGCGGAGAGGTGGTCAGTATATGACATGGTTTCGTGGCATGAAAGAAAGCTGCAAAGGACTGGCTAGTGTTGGTCCTTCACGACTCCCTGGCTGGGGTCCGAGAGATGGTTCTACACAGTGGCTAGAGACGTTATCAGATATGGCTCAGAATAGAAGCCAGTGGCGATCCTGCTGTAACCTTCTTTTACTTTCTTCGTAAAAATTGGTTGTATCTTCCTTAACTGGAAGATTTCTCCTGATTGTACTTTTCCGTCCCCCCATTATTACACTACCTTACACCAATCTCTTCCTTATTGTTCTTTTTTTACCCTCCTTGTCTTTTTTCTTTCTCTTTAAATCCTCATTGTTTTGTGCGGCGCATATATGTTTGGCTCACTCTTGTACCAATATTTATGTTCGAACAAATAATAAAAATAAAGAGTAGACTATGGTTAGGTGAATATTCTGTATGATAACGTAGAATTTGTCTTCTGTTCAGTTGAGAATACCTTGTCAAAACGAACATTGAAATATTCGTCATTGTTAGATGGGAATTAGGAATCTCATATCACACTCTTCAGACAAAAATTCCATATTCCATGCGCTCAATTTACGTCCTTGGTTGGCAACAGCTGTCATATAAGATTACTAAACAAGACCACTTCGTAAATATCGTGTTTTGAACCTTGCATGTGCTACCAAAGACTGGATCTCCAGATGTCAGATGTTATTGTTATACCCCAAAAATTAATCACATTAATTCAGGTATTTTCTACACCAGTATCCATTTATTGACCATCAGAAAGGCTTCAAAGAATTGGAAGTGACAATAAAAGTATTGGAAACGTGTAAAAAAGGTGGTATGCCAATGTTAGTGTAAAGGGAACTTTACCAGTTTCGTTTTAAAACCTAAATCCAGACACCTGACAGCTTTGGCTTTGGGAAATTCCGAAAGACTGGAGTTCGATTGCTTGCTAATCATCTAGAAAGACTTTGATGTGCCAACTTGATGTCCTTTGTCGAGATATCTTGAAGTAGCACTTCTGGTAGCCTTTTTAATCTGTATGGCAGACTTTTTAAAATACATTCTATGGACCGAACATAGGGTCTTCTTCCATTCAATTCATATTATTCTACTCGATTCTTTGTTTTTGCTTTATTCAAGATATCAAACGTAATCATATGTGTTGAACTTCACAATTTTAGCTCACACAATGTCATAATTAAATGTAGCGATCTTTACTAAGTGCATTCGCTAGAAATGACATAGTTTGTGTATATACTCATCAGCTTTTACTAAATTCTATCTTCCACACCGCCGGCAGTACACTCAGTCAACAACCAATTATTATAAGCTTGGAAATTTCCCAACTCCTCTAGAGATTCATATATGGAATATTAAGTTTCAATATAGTATATGGTTCACAGTCTTTTCTAAGTATTTAGACGGAAATATTTGGTTGAAATTCTACTCAGCACTTTTATTGCATTTAATTGGCGATTCTCAAACTTTTATGCTATAATTGGTTGTTGTTTCAGTGAAACTCGTGGTCACTTCAGTTTCACAAATCCACTTCTCTCTCTTAAAAGAGTAACATTTTCAACTTTATTTTACATATTCTTAGAAACAAACCTTCGCAATCCATACAAATAGTGATTTCACTCAAATATCGAGACGTTTGCATTAACAAAGCAAATGACAGTACTCACTCAATCGGTAGATACAATGCAGGTGTAGTTATTCCAATTAGTTAAGATATGGAGTAGTAATTAGCACTGATTTTTGCTATTATTCCGATGTTTTGCATTTAACATTGAGCGAAAATATAATAGTTAAGTTAAACATGCCTTGTTACCTTGTTATTTTCCTTCTGTATCAAATTATAGTTATCTGTGCTTGGAAATGTATCAGCACTTTTTACCCCTTTTCTTGTTTTTATTCTTTTTCTATACATTTGAGTCTTTATCGACTGGCGATTTTATCACACAACGCATCTAATTGAATGCATCAAGTTTTGAATGTTGGATAACCACTACTAAATCTAGTTAGCAGGTCCTATCATTCATTTTGTTACATCGGTGAAGAGTGACTAACTAAATTTTGTTAAATTCATCTAAGTCTACTTTGTTCGTCTTACCACAAGTCTCCTTTAACCAATTTAAAAATTTTTAACGACTGTGCTTGTAGTCCATTATTACCAAATGAATTTAGATTTCGTACTCCTCAATTTTTAAATACTCTTCATTTTTAGTCTTAATGGTGCTTTGGCTGAGTCTGGAAATACTGCACGACACACATCTAAAATATCTTTGTTCAAACGTCGTGAAGCAAATGGAGTTCGACCTGGACCCGTGAACAAGGTTCCTAAAGCTAGAAACTCAGTCGTAAGTTAACAAAAATAACAATATCATGAATGTATGATTAATTATACCGTATGACGTATACTAATTAGTAACCTTAGCCTTCAAATAATGACGAATTTGATTTAGTGTTTTACAATCGGAAATCGTCATAGATTGAAAAATCATTGCAAATTGAAATTTTTGTCTTTCTTATGTTGAGAGCCTTCAAGCTACTGGTTAAAGAATCACAAAAATGGTTTATGTGCCACTTGATCAACTTTTTGATAGATAACTAATTAATCTTGTTTGTCATCTCCCAGTTAATATGACTGAAAGTATCGATTACAAGAATCCTTTAACCATCCCCTTGAAGTAACACAGAGATATCACAGCTCACGGATGGTTTTCTTGGTTTGATAAAAACGGTGGGTGTACTTAGATCTGTTAAAACAACATATTTATAAACAGAATTGTGTCCCCATGGAGTAGTCAGTGGGATACTCACAAGATCTTTTACATGTTCATTAACAGTACCATACTGTATAACTATAACTTCGTAGTTAAGAATGTGTTTTGGATATTGATCAATCAGAAACTGTAGCAGATAAGATGCTATAGATAAATAAGCCATTTGTTCATGGTAACAGCTATAAATAAATTTCAGAGTAGATAGGCGCTAACGAGGAGTTATTCAATAAGTTTCTTATCCAAATCTATATGCCTTAAGATGTCGGTTCCTATGACAGAGGTGTAAAACGAATATGGTGTTGTTGCAGACATTTAAGGTCATTAAAAAAACCATCAATCCTATGTCATGTGTTTAATTCATTGTTGTTTGTATATTATATGTATCGTGATACTGTTATGTCTAACAATGGGTTATTGATTAAATCGTTTGACACTGAACTATTAGGTTGCACATTCGAGACTGGCCACATTTATCTCAGTTCCGTTAGCTGAAAAGCACCACTAGCCTTCATGTACATTGGAAAGTATAATTTAAAGTTGCGTATCTGAGTTTGTATTCAGTTACTGAATTCTGACTAATACAAAAGAGCTACGTAATATTAAAGCTAACAAAAATAACAAATATATTTCAATTAAAAAGTTGATTTTTTCATAGTTTGGCAATTTTATCTCCATATCTATCAAGTTTAATTACAAGTTATTTTTTTTAAAAAGTTCCGAAAATTATTGATTTCAGTTTATGTATATTAATTCGGTTTATGTTGCCTTGTTTGCTTATATACTTCAGACATATGTGTAAATAGAATTACGAAAAATTCACATGTTTGCATAAATTGTTTCTTAAAATAACAAAGAGGACAATAGAGCGGAAAAAAGGAAGTTTCAATTCCTGTATAATTTATACATTATATTTTAAATCCAAAAATTCACCGATTCAAAATTATCACAAGATAAACTCACATTTACCTAGAACTTAAGAAATGAATTTGTAGCTTGGTGGTAGAAACGTTTGACATACAAGCACTGAGTCGTAGATTCAAATTCTTTTTCACTCACTGGATAGTATCATAACCGTTCGTACATAAAATTTTGATTCGTTACCAAGTGCATAAAGCTGTACTTGTTACATTTAAATTTAATTGTCCATAATTTCCAACCAAAGTGGCATTAAAAGGTATGGATTTTATAATCTTTCATACAATATCGTCACTTCCTCATTTAAACAAATTAATCGTATCTAGCTGGTAAAATGAATTCCAGTTCTAACATACATCGATTCATGATCTTAATCAAAAACTTAAAAATCTCTACAACCCCACACTGAAAACACCGATTCTGTTACTCTGTTACATTTGTTTATAAATTGTTCGGATTTAAAAATCAAGGTTGACATTATTTTATTCACATGAATAAATTATTTACAATAATCAGCAAGGATTAATGACTTATCTACTTCTATACTGATATTTTCGAGCAAAAGTATACAACGCTTGAGATAGAAAATGAAGCAAACAAACTCTATACTGATAATAATCATGTCTTCACTTATTACTAGGTTCTAGATGCAATACTCAGAGTAAAAACTCGTGGCTGATGAAGTCTAACTATATCGGCTGTGGGACAGTTATTCGCTCCAGGCAATACAATATTGTCTTATAGCTAACATTAATAGAGATTGTCACCGGTGTATACTTTTTAAATTTACGGTGGAAGTTTCTAAAGATAATAAATGATCAAATGATTTTAAGATTAAAAATTTTGCTTACTTATCATTAAAGCTAATTTGTCTATATTTCTCAAAAGCCATACGCCCAAAGTACACCCATTTTTCCGTGTGTCCTATTATTTTCTGAGTCATTGTATCAACTCAAACAGATATGACTCTCTGGTAATCTTATTCCCCTATGAGTCTGACTTTTTACATGAAGAATTTTGCCATCTTCAGTCCAAATTCTGCATGATATGTAAACACCCTATTTCTTATTTTATTTTATTTGGACACATAAATATCGGTACAAGGAGGCCCCAAATGCCCTGGTGTGGCCGAGAGTGGGGTGGGCCCGCCCCCTCTCGAAATGCTCTCACATAGCCACGCGTATATAGCCTCTGCCAGTGAAGTCGTACTCATTGCCTTCTCATGGCGGGGGTGTTGTTTACGAAGTTGAGAGGACGAAAAGCAAATGTCCGGCGCTTTAACCAGATCCTAAACCAATGGTGCACATGGGCTTCAGTATCCTGCGGGAACAAATGGCGTATGAACCAATTGTTTGTCACTGGCTACCATGGGACTGCATCTCCTCACGATACTCCACTGTCTTATGGGTCAGACCTTTAGGTAAAAGGCTCTGGTGTGGTTCCCTAAGAAAACCATCTGCTTCGGTCTGGGCACCCGGGCAGTATCACAGCCTACACACAAACAAAATGAAATGACGATATAACCAAAATTGCCAAATTATTTTCATCAAAGTGCATGAAATTGAATCAGGATTCTTAAAACCAAAAATTGAGAATTAATTGTTTATTCAACCTGTATATGATATTTTCATTGTCTTTTGTATCCATAAATTCACAAGTTTTATAACTTACCACCCGTGTACAACACATGACATACTTTAATTACTGAATCCGCTTTTAAGACTCACTACTAATTAGTGAAACTTTTCAATATTCTCCCTTTTCCTGAACTGTTAATGCATAGGTTCAGATTAGTACCACTTAATTCATTATCAAGAAGTCTTCAAGGATCTGACTATGATTTAACATTTTCTACTTGTTTACCTGATTTATTCTTGGTTTACATAGACCGTTTGAATCAAAAATGTATTTGGTCGGTGATTAGATATGTTCATGTTTCTTTCAATGAATTTTTAAATATTAATTTTAGTTTATTTATAAGCTTATATGGCTTTTGCTCATACATATATATACTGTATATTGAACTCTTTATTTGTACCAAATACTACTACAGAAAATATTGCTTAAAATATAACTTGAGTGTTATTATTTAACAAAAATATTAGCATATTTTAAGTTGAGTTAGCATATGTTCTTTAGATTTTCTTATTTAGTATTGATCGGTTATCAAATACATATTAATGTGCCGGAGCCCACAGAATTGTAATATTGTAGTGAACAAGAACACGGGTGGGGACAATCGAATGTATTTAGCACAAAATTACAGAGCATCTTAATAAAATTTGAGAACCATATATCAAATCGTTAATTTGCAAAATGTCCACCAATTGTTCCAAAATGTCTCAGACTTCATTGCCCTTGCGTTTTCATACAAATTGCATTGTATTCCCGCTCTTGCTTTCTTGATCTTCCCTCATCTTCTGCTGCCGGACATTACATTCCTGACTCGCATAATATACTACTTATATCAATATAAGTAGCAAGCACCACAATATCACTAAATTGTTCAAACTTAATTAGGTAGCTTGGGTTTCAAACCTGCAACCTACTGGTTGAAAGCCGAGTTTTATACATTATTTCACAAATCAACCTATAACTTATAGGTTTTTGAAAATAGTTTTTCATCGCAAACACTAAGGAGCACTCAAAATAAATATAAATTTAGAGCAATCTAAAGATTGTTACTTGTTATTATATTCCAGTGTATGATCTTCAAAGCCTGGGAATATGATTTATCCTAAAACCATGTTTTTCCTCTCCACTCTTTGCTATAAAATACGGCTACGTAATATCGGAGTTGTTCGATTCGTTTCGGGATAACGGGATAAAATTATATATATATATATATATATATATATATATATATATATATATATATATATATATATATATATATATATATATATATATATATATATATATATATATATATATATATATACTCCATGTATAGTGTAATTTCATTAGTAAATTTAATATTTAGCGGATGACATGTTATTGCCTACTTATAATTTTGGCATCGTTTTTCTATGTACATTTAAAGTAAAAATAAAAGATTTGTAGTGATTCATATTTCATTTAATTAATCCCAACATATATTAAGTAATTCAGGTGTTTATTCGATATAATCTAGTTTTCTTAACTTCAATTAATTATATCTATTGATGTTAGAGTGATTTTCTGTCAATCCTTCCTAATTATATTGGTTTTTGTAACTTCCTATCTATTTTCCACTATGGAAATCAATATCTAAGTCTCAAACCATTATCTATCTGGGTTTTTTTTGTTTCTTTCTATTACCTATGTAATACATAACCTACTGAGAGTTCAACTTTCGTTAGGTTATTAATTATATTTTCTAATTATGTATTTGATATACATGTGAAAGTAAATTATAATGTATTATGTTGAATTAAGTTTTTCGATTGACCGCATATCAACAGTTTATTGACTAATAAATATTACTATTGATTTTTACTGATAATTCAACAGTGTTAGCATCTTTTTTTGTACCAGAAATGTGCAAGATAATTATAGATTTTTATTAACCATCACTCATTAGATCCTTTTTCTCAAAATGTAAACTAATAATGTTTTTTTTAACATGTAATTCATTTGGACCTTTTATTTTCAGTTTCTATTAAATAAATACGTTGAGCACATATTCTTAACCCCACATATTTACTATTTAACGATTGAATGGTAAATGAATTCATAGTTCAACAAATATAATACTTGGAATTCGACTTTTAGGTTATTAGTTCAAATTCTATTTGATCTGGCAAACTTTGAATAGTGCAGTGGTATTTTTATCATATAACATATTAAACTCAGTAGTGTATAAACTGTTAAAAAGTTGATTAAGCATATCATTGCACTCAATTAAAATATACAAATCTCAAAACATATTATGCAAACAATTCTGTTATATTAACTGATTATTTCATAATAATGGATCATGTCATCTTCAGAATGTTTTAAATTATTCCGATGATACTAGTTTTTATTTAACTCCTTAAAATATCAGTGATACAGTTTATCGGCTTATTCAGTTTGTCCTCTTTCTTGTCATATTTCAATGTACCCACATGAGATGTTATAGCCATTATTGTATTGATATCTAATAGTTATCATTTTGAAAATGATCCTTTAAAAATATTCCTCGTAACCTAGTTGCATCCAACAATACAGTCTTGTATATTACTGGTACTGATTACCTAGGAATATAGGGATTCCTTTTAAAAAATCAATGTAAATTCAGTTTAGAATTTATAAATAGGTATATGTAACTGAGTTTAAGCTTAACAGCTTAATTGTTAAATAAGTGAACTATATTATATTATAGTTTACATCTCTGTTAATAAATAGAAAAGAAGTAATAATGTCTTTTTACTAGCCGTCTTGTATATGTAAGGTTTATTTTCAATGCGTTTATTATTGCATTACTTCACTATCAAATACTCCTATTTAAGTTAAATGACAACTTTTAGTTAAACAGTGAAATTGACGAAACATAAATAAAGTAATATTTTGTGTTTTAATTAATTTATCGTTATTTATGTATTAGATATTTTTAGAATAACCAAACGTTATTTTATAACTTGTCCGTTTTTTGAATAAATGCACTTTACTGTCCACTAAGTAAATTGATTGATAATTGAATTTTGCTCAGTAAATATGTACATGTTTCGGTATCCGGATACAATCCCGAACAGTAACTACTTAACCTTTAAGAAGTAAGCATGTAGAGTTGGCTCTTTAGTACAACTAACTAAATGATACAAAAATATAATCTATGTGAAATTAAATTATACATTAAAAATTTAACTTCATAGGGGTAAATATTGATCGCTGAATATTTTTAATTAAGCTATGTGTTTACTCTGCATTCTTTTGTTTTCTTAAGGACCCGCATGAAAAATAATAGAAAAACATTTACTATATCATCAAAGTTTTGCTCATTTACGTACTAAACTTATAAACAATTAAGACTTTAAAAAGTTATAAGTAGAACAGCTACTCTATCAAAATTGAGATAGTGAAAATTTGTAGCTCAGGTGGATGATTTTGGTGAAGAGGTGCTTCAGTCGTGTAACCGTGGTCGTTCTTCTCAACGACATTATCAGCACAAACTCCAGGTAGAAGGAAAGTATTCGATTTTCGCCACATATAACTCGCATCTTGTCCCCTCGATCTCGATTGGTCATTATTGACCTCTAACTTGTTATTACCTGCCTTTTTATTTTGGTCGTATCTCCCTTTCATCTGATTCTCGGTCCTATTCTTGTCCATGACTTTTCTGATTGGTTGGTAAACTGGATCGATTTCGACGTGTTTGTTGATTGACCTGAGTGCCAAGCTTCTAAGAACTCCCTAGTGGTCTTAGTATTCCCTTATCGAAAATTTCGATATTGATCAAATCGAATGTGCGTCCACATGCAGTGATATAAGTGATATATATACTCATCCCCTAAAACTGTCGGCATATAAATTTTTTAGCTATTTCACCTCTAATGTTCAGTGTTTATTGATTCATGTAAACTAATAAAATCTACAGTTTCCTAATTCTGTGCTGTTATTATTGCCTTGGCTGATAAAAACTACTGCACCAAAAACTGTCCTTATAATTTTGTATGTTATTTTATAAGACTGAATTTTTTAATCTTCAGTTATTATCTTTCATGATGGTTCTACGCATACACCAGTTACAACTGAAGTCTTCGAAAAAATAGTAGATTGTGAAACCTTCTAATCTGTCTTATGATTTTAAGTTATAATTCTCTTCAAACAGTGCCATCATCATATGGTTTCACAACATTTTTTTGAACTTATGAATATTGTATGAACGAATTAGTGTCTTATGTTTTCCTTAAATACACACTAATCGTAGTCACGCTTTCTTGTTCAACTTCATTCATATCTCCCATAATTCACTTGATTTTCGTCTTATTGGTTCCTGTGTAGTGTATGCTACTTATGCTGACATATGTAAGTAGTATGTAGCTGCAATCAGGAGCGGAATGCCTGTCAGCGGAAGAGTAAATTAAAAAGAATAGGAATAGAAATAGAGAGCGATTGGGGTAACAACAGACTTGAAATAATTCTGAAGTACGTAAAGGATAACTGAAGGAAGATGTACAAACGATATACTCAATGTATGATTGTCATATTTTATAAAGTCACTATGTAAATTGGTTTTCCTCACCTGAGTTTCCGTTCACTACACCTGTAGTTAAAATTTCCTAAAATTCCGGGATTTTGTTTTGTAATTAATTTTTTTGAAGAGGTTGGACAAATACGAGCACTCATATAACATTGTACGTATGATACTTTTATTGAATCCAACCTTTTATTTCACTTCGTTTAACCACATAGCCTATTTAACAAATATTGAAAGTGCATCATTCATTTAATTGAGTTTCATCGGTTACTTATTCATTGAAATTAAAGTGATGAAAACTTTTCATTGTGTTACGTAATTTGAATTGTATGGTTTGATTGCAAACGTTTCGTTATCATTCTAGACAACATTATCAACTCGTACGTCAAGTAGATGATATTGTTCAGAACAATATTGGAAGCATTGCAATTAAACTAAAGAACACAATACAAATCATCTGAGCTAAAAAAAAAAAATAATCTCCATCATGGTAAACACTATATGGTGATGGACTTTGATTAACTGATTAACTGAATTAAAGTAAATCAGGTAGATACTCGAAAACCATCTGTTTCACTTCTGTGTACGTCAACACTAAGTTTTATTTATTTCATCAAATTATATTCTAAACTGTTAATCATTATTACATTACTCTTTTTGTTTCTTCATGATTTTGTTGAATGATTTTAAAATGATTGACTAGAAAGGAAATACCTTTTTTAAAAAAAATATATTTACTTGATTTTCATGCTATTTAACACCTATAAACAAGTTGTATTATCTACCACTTTCCACAAAACATACTGTTTCAAAAATACGACTTTTCGTATAATGTTGAATATTATGCAAAATAGTATCAGTCAATTATCCAAAAATTGATATTTTAACAAGTTGAATTCTAAAATATCCTTTTTTCATCGTCATTTTACTGGTTTCTAGTGTAATTTTGAAATTTGCTTTTCCTACCTCACATCGACTTTTTGGGAGGGATTTTTATAATAATTATTTAAGTTTTATTCTTCCATTTTTTAGGCAGTGACAAATCGGAATACACCTGCCATCTCGTTTACTTTATCGAGGAATGTTACAGTAGTTGTAGAATATGTGCCTGATCCTAAAGTGGATATGTTTCAGGTGATTCCCATAATTGTCTAATATATTCACTTTTTTCATTCAATAAAGTGTAGATTGTATTCCTTATTGTTTAAAACTCTAGTTTTCAGCAACAGTTGACGTTATGTTAACATTACACTTCCATTGAAACATTATTATATTTTATCAATGTTATAATGACTTTTTTTGTTTAATAAAGTTGTTTAGTTTTACTTCAGAGTATTAAATTTGTGATTTTACTATTCGAGCTCTTCACTTTCAAGAACTGCACTACGAGTTTGAATAATGCTCAACCTACTCAGTTTTGAGTATTTGGATAGTACCAATAATTCATACACAATGAATGTAACTCAAAACCTAGTATGTTAGATTGCGTTGAAGTCGGACACATACACAACAGATGTAGATCCCAACTGAACAGCCTTCATACAACTCATTTGATATCAGCAAAATAGCCTAGAAATATTTTAATTCATGTCCAAAGTTAGTAACATTCGACATTAGATTGTAAACTTTTTTATAGCAATTTTCTCACTCATATAATCGACCGAACTCAAACAAAAGTATCTTCATCTTTTGTATTAACTTTATAGTTTAATTTAAAGTACAATAATAACTGTTTATTTTTTTATAAAGTTAGAACTTTTTATTGTTTCCAGTTCAATGTTTTTGTAACATTTAATTTTATTTATCTATTGCTACGTACTTCGATTAATATTTTTTATAGATTGGTCGAAGTACTGATAATCACATAGATTTTGTTGTATCCGAACCGAAACCGTCAGTTAGTCAAAATGATCAGCAGCACGTCAATAATAATAACAATAATAATAATAATAATAATAATAATAATAATAATAATAATAAACAATGTAAAGATAATTCAAAAGATTCCAATCGTGGTAATTATGAAAGTGCAGTTTCACGTTTTGCTTGTCGTATTCATATTGATCGTGATCCACCTTACACTGCTCGTTTATATGCAGCTGGATTCGATGCATCAAATAATATTTTTTTAGGGGTAAGTAAAGTGTTTTCTTTATCATTCAGTTTAAAATATCAAAGCTATTCATGTTAACAAAAAAATTAGCTCATTTTTGATCTAAAAAGAATTCTTCTTCTTCTTCTTCTTATTATTATTATTATTATTATTATTATTATTATTATTATTATTATTTTCCACATTATTCACCCTCTTTTATACTTATACAGCGGCTCGTCTTTGGTGGAAATTCGACTGTATCTAAACGTTCTCGAGTCACTGTTCGGTTGAAAATTGTATGTTACCACCGAATACGAGAACTGAAGCAGTTTTTCTGAAACCACGTGCACCATTCAAACTGGCTGCCTTCAACGTTCGCACACTAATGCAGGTCGGACAACAGATAGGGCTGGCTATGTCTTTGGAAAGTCTCAATATTGATGTTTGTTGTCTATCCGAGACCCGTATTCAAGACTCTGGCGAAGTACTACAAATTCGATCTCCATCTGTCGCTTCGAAAAGCTTGTTTTACGTGCGCTTATCCGGGGACCCTGTGGCATCTTCGTCTGGTCTTGCTGGCGTTGGTGTCGCACTAAGCGCTAGAGCTGAGGCAGCACTAGTCGATTGGATCCCCATTAACAGTCGGTTATGTGCTGTTAGATTAGAAAGTTCCATAAAAGTGAGAAGAGATCGGCGTGAAAAACGATGTCTTTTCGTCATCTCCGCCTATGCCCCGACAGATTGCAGCCCGGATGCAATCAAGGATAAGTTTTACCACCAGCTGTCTGTTCTTCTCCAGAAAGTGCGCTCGACAGATATTGTAGTACTAGCCGGAGACTTGAATGCGCAGGTCGGGCGTTTAGGCACAGAAGAGAGTCGTTTAGGTGGCCGATGGGGACTCGTTGGTCGCAGGTCAGATAACGGGGACCGTCTACTGCAACTTTGCACAGACCACAACCTGTTTCTGGCTAGCACTAACTTTCGGCACAGTCATCGCCGATGTGCCACCTGGCGTCCTCCCTCTGCATCCCAAGCCTGGACTCAGATTGATCACATCGCGATCAGCTTCCGCTGGCGTGGTTGTGTAAAAGACTGCCGCTCCTTTTGGAGTACCTATCTGAACTCTGACCATGCCTTGGTCTGCGCCAATCTTGCCTTACTTTTCAGTGGACAACGAAGTGACCACCATCAAAGGATTGATATTAGCAAGCTGGTTGCAACCTCTGTTGCAAATAAGTATCGAACCGAGCTAGCTTCTAGGCTAGCTACCATTCCACCGAAAAGTATAGATGAGCATTGGTTGCAATTGCATGACGCCATGAAAATGGCGGGAACAGTCAGTTGTGGGTTTGCGAAACGTCCCGCTTATAAGCACTGGGTTTCTTCTGGTTCCTTACAACTTATTGAAGCCCGTCGGTCTACTCCGGGTGACCGTGAATTTGACCATAAACGAAGGATGTTACGTAAGGAATTTGGGCAAAGCTTGCGTAAGGACCGAGAAGCCTGGTGGTCGGAGCGTGCTAATGAGCTGGAAGCAGCAGCTGCATCTGGTAACTACCGGAAGCTCTTCCAGCTCATCCGAGCCACTGGCAGCAAGAAGTCTGGTGTGAGTGAAACAATCTGCGAGGATGATGGGATGCCAATCACTAACATCCATCGACGTCTTGGACGATGGGCAGAATTTTTCGAAGGGAAGTTCAACTGGCCTGCTGCTCCGGCAACATCGGTCAGACTGTCCTGCCCTCCATGGCCGGTGACGACTGATCCACCAAACGAGAAGGAAGTCCGCAAGGAACTCCAACTCTTGAAGCGCTACAAATCACCTGGCCCATATGACTTACCTCCGGCTCTTTTTAAAGATGGTGGTGACTTTTTGACTGAGGAACTGACGACGTTGTTTACAAAGGTTTGGGAACTAGAGAGTGTACCAACGTCATGGAATGAGTCGATAGTTGTCCCTATCTTTAAAAAGGGTTCACGTCGTTCCTGCAACAACTATCGGGGGATAAGTCTACTTCCGATTGCGTCCAAGCTATTGGCTTCCGTCATACTTCGTTGGTTGTTCAAAACCCGAGGAAGATTGACTCGCGAGGAGCAGGCTGGGTTTCGTTCTGGTCGAGGTTGTATTGATCATATCTTCACCCTCCGCCAAATGTTAGAACATCGCCATACTTATCAAAGGCCAACAATCGTAGTGTTCCTTGACATCAGGGCTGCCTTCGATTCGTTGGACAGGATTGTTCTCTGGGATTGTCTATTGAAGAAGGGTGTGCCTGAGAAGTTTATTAACATCCTAAAAGCCCTATATAAAAACACCTCAGGCAGAGTGAGGGCATACAACCACCTCTCTCCATTGTTCTATACGAGTAGTGGGGTTAGGCAAGGTTGGCCAATCTCACCATTCCTCTTCAACTTTGCTATCGATGACATTCTGGAAACAGCTCTGATGAATGTAAGTAATGGTGGTGTGGATCTGTTGCCTGGAGAAAGACTTCTCGACCTTGAGTATGCGGATGATGTTGTCTTACAGTGCGATAATGCCCAAGGCATGCAATCCGCACTTAATCAGTTGGCAATCAGTGTCCGTAGGTATGGTATGTGCTTTGCACCTTCGAAGTGCAAAGTACTTCTACAAGACTGGCAGGATTCCAATCCTGTACTCACCCTGGATGGTGAGCAGATAAAAGTAGTCGAGAAGTTCGTGTATCTGGGTAGCTGCATAAGTGCTGGTGGGGGTGTGAGTGATGAGATCAATGCACGTATAGTGAAAGCCAGAGCGGCTTATGCCAATCTGGGCCACCTTTGGCGCCTTCGTGATGTTAGTCTGGCTGTAAAAGGTCGGATCTGCAACGCGTCGGTGAGAGCAGTTTTGCTCTATGCTTGTGAAACCTGGCCTCTCCGAGTTGAGGACGTTAGACGACTCTCTGTGTTCGATCATCGCTGTCTCCGAAGGATTGCTGACATTCAGTGGCAACACCATGTCAATAATGCAGAGGTTCGGCATCGTGTGTTTGGGCACAGAGATGATAATTCAATTGGTGTCACCATCTTGAAACACCGACTTCGGTGGCTTGGACATGTTCTACGAATGTCGTCCCAGAGAATTCCACGTCGTGCATTATTTGCCGACTCTGGGACTGGTTGGAAAAAGCGGAGAGGTGGTCAGTGCATGACATGGTGTCGTGGTATGAAAGAAAGCTGCAAAGGACTGGCTTCTGTCGGTCCTTCACGACTCCCTGGTTGGGGTCTGAGAGATGGTGCTACACAGTGGCTAGAGACGTTATCAGATATGGCTCAGAATAGAAGCCAGTGGCGATCCTGCTGTAACCTTTTACTTTTTTCATAAAATGTGGTTGTGTCTCCCTTAACTGAAAGATTTCTTCTGATTGTACCTTTCCGTTCCATCGTTACTACCACACTACCTTACACCAATCTCTTCGTTATCGTTCTCTTTTTCTTTTGTGTCCCTTAGTTTTTTTTTTCTATCTCTCTTCGAATTTTCATTGTTTTGTGTGGCGCATATATATTGGCGCTCTCTTGTACTCTTTGTACTATGGGTGTTAAATAATGTATATCATGTTGATGTTGTTACGATCTCTGAGCTGAATGGATTGGTTGAGAAGCTTTCATTTTTCGTTTGAACAACATCATCAGAACGTACTTCAAAGAGAAGTGAGTTATTAGGATCCCTTCACAACTGAATAATAGCTTGTTTTGTTGACCTGGAATTTGATTGCTTTTTTATCTAACTGTGTGACCGTTGCTTCTACGTTCTTTTTAACTGTTTTCTCTCTTAATTTGAATTATGACCTTGCCTTTGTTATTTCTTTTTTCTTGTTGGTTGAAGTACTTGTTGACAGTGTTAGTCAAAAGAGTGATGAAAGGTTTACAACCAATCCATCTAGCTCAGAACTCAAAACAGCTTCAACATCCTCGTCATGAACTACAAAAATTCTCCATCATATAATATACATCAGTATATGGTATTGTATTATACAGCGTATTACTGTTTTCAGATGGGGCTATTTGTAGTCTATCAAGAACAAACTGAACTAATTAAAAGTAATCAGTGGAGTAGAAAACGCTTGCTGAAATAATGTTGTCCAATAAGTCTAGTTATTGGAAGTTCTCTGTTGATTATAACACATAAATCCAAATCGTACTGGTAAACTTTGTTGCAATCCATACCTATTATCTGAGATTAACACCGCTACCGTGCTAATCAAATTTTATTAGGTGACTCCATCAACAAAATCCATGTGCTGAGATGATTGAACTACATTATTACACCGATAAACAAACTATGACAACCGCCTGGCATTAGCTTGCGTCACTGTGGCTAATAATTTTAATGTAATTTTTAATTACATGTCCGTCATCAGTATTTATAGTATAACAAGAAATATTCTGTTCGTAGTCCGTTGAACATTGACGTGTAGACGAGTTTTCTCATTTGACCGCTTTTTTAATTGAAGACACCCAGTTGTGAAATAATCATCGAATATTGATCTTTCAGGCACTTGAATTATTGTTTTTTTTTCTGAATTGGCCAATTACAAAAGTTTACTTTACCCAATCCATTAGGTAAATCCTACATATGTTTTCATTCTAGTTTGCTTAGTTCATAAACTTAATGGTTGGTAGACTAATTAACACCGAGGTGTATAACACAAGTTTTAATCCTTTCTATAACAAATAATTTGTGGACATGATGAATCATCTCATCAAATACAAAACTCAGGTTAATTTGCTCCCCTACAATGGTTTTCTAGCCTGAACTTACTGTATGATAAGATTAGAAACATAATTGGTTATGTGTTTTCTAATACAAAATGCTAAAAATATATGAGAAAACATTTTTACTGATTCCCTACAAATTTCTGAAATGCAACTATTTTCTAAACATTTATCAATAATAAACTGATATATCACGCTGTTATATTCAGTTTCTTGTAAATAACTTCAATACAATTATCCTAAGACAAATGATAATTAGCTAAGACTAATAACAAATTGAAATTAGTGTGCTGGATTCATGT